GGCTTTTTCCAAGGGATCAGGTTCAATGATTGCATATTTTTCAGACTAACTTTTTCATAATCAGGTCTTCTTTGATACAGTTTATCCCTTGTAACCCGTACCAAAGCATGTAAGAAGAGCTCGTCTGATTGAAAAATTGAAAGCCATTTTAAGTAGTTTTGAGACTTGTAATAATTTCCAAGAATTTCAACCACAGTCTCTGCTCTAATCTTGTCTTCTTCTAACACATCTGACCAACTAGAATTTAGGTATTGATTATCTTTAATTTGACAGATTTTCATCTTGTTCTCAAATAAAAAGTAATTGCTCATCAATTCACTAAGTCTTCCATGCACATTCCTAACCTGATTCCTGGAACACTCTTCTTCCTTCACGCTTTTTGCATTGTTTTGGGCTAATAAAGAAGTGAAAAATAATTCCAATGATTTTGTCTCTTCAAAGAATTGATTACTTCCAATTTCACATCCGAGAGCTTCCAGAAGCTCAGTATTGATAGTCCAAAGTAGCTGAAGTAGAGCCTCCATTTTTTGTTTGAAATCACTTGTGTAGATGGATAGAAATTCAGGCACATGATCTTTTTCTAATTTGAACTTTTCCACTGTCAAAAAGTGAATATAAGAATTGAAACTAGTTATCAATCCAGGGCTTGGATGAAGTTTCAAACCAATGTGGTTCTTTTTCATTTTTGACTGTGATAAGAATTTCAGAAGATAATGGTCATTCTGTCCCACAAGGAAAGGCTCTCTATTTTTAGCATTGAGATATATCTTAACTGGGCTTTCTAATGAGTTGAATTTATTTTTCTTTCTGGTAAGCTTGGTACCAAAATCAAATGAATCCCAGGGCAGTACCTTTCCGGTAATCATGTTCCTTGGTCGTTTGTTCCAACCATGCCCAAAGTCAGTCATGTGTGTTAAAAACATGCTGTCTTCTGGAAAGATCTGTTTCCATTTTTCATATTGCCAATTTTTGTAGTAGGATCCAAGGACAAGTGTTGCAGCTTCATTCATCTTCAATTGGCTTTGTGTAACATAATGTTTTTTTGTTGTTATTCTTTCCTGAAAAAATTGGTACACCAATTCTTCTTGATCAAAATGAATACCTTTCAATATCATTTCATAGATAAACTTTACTTTATTTCCACACCTTTGATCATTCATCTTGCACATATACATAAAAGTTTGTAACCATATCATTAACCTTTTGTTTTCTTCTAGGTACGGATTATTCAAATGTTTGTCTTTTGAAATGCTCAGCACTTCATCCCCCAAGGTTTCCAAAAACCTTGAATTAATGGCCCATATGTAGTATGCAAATTCCCTAACACGGCTTTCCCATGGATGAAGATCATGAGTGCTTTCAAATGAGTTTTCAGTGAGAAGATGATCATTTGGACTCCAGGGGATACATGAAAATACCATTTTTGGTATCAAGGGATCAACATGTTCTTTTAACTCGTCAGCCAAAGCCTCTCCAAAATGATGCCAAGGAATTGACATCCACACCCAAGTCTTGTCAGATGGAGTCATCACCCAGTAAAATATTCTGTCCAAGCGTGGTTTGATTTCTGGAATTGGATCAGGTGCCATATTCTCACTTATCCTACTTCTGAAACTAGCGGTTTTGAAGTCAAAGTAGTCAGAACTTCTTTCAGGGTTACCTAAATCTGGTTCTCTTTGAAAACCTGAGAAGTTTACTTCATGCTTTTCACCTTTTAATCAGAGAAATAAAAAGAAGTAGATCAGGGTTTATAACCTATATGAAGCTAAATCAAATAAATTGACCCTTGCCTTGCAGCTGAGGAAATATTGACAGTGCTGAACTTGGAGGCGTTTTGTGTGGCTGATCTTCCTGATATAAACATGTACAAACATTGGGAAACAGTCTTTCTTTCTTTGAAGGTTCCTGATATATTGGATCATTTCCTTCAAATTCATGTCTTGGACGGATCAACATTTTACTGGTGGAGGCATGCCCTGATAAAATCATTTCAGATTTTATGGTCAACACCGATGGCTTTGTAAGTTAAGTGAACAAGACTTACCAAGAAAATCTGAATTGACTGGCATCCATCTTGATATGTCTCTTGGGTGAGACAGGTGAGTTCCCTCTTGCTCACTTACAATATTTGAAGATTCTGAGAGGCCTGCATGTACATGATGACTGCTTTGTGAGTAATGAAACTGAGGAACTGGTTCTTCTTTGATGAGAAGGTTTTTGGGGTTTGAGGGAGCTGAGATGGATTGGAAATGATCAAAAAATAGGATTGAATATCTGAGGAAATTTTTCATCTTTGTAGCTGCCAAAACGGTAGAATTTCAGCTGATTGGAGGTTATTCAATTGTGGTGCATTTGAGTGTGGGAGATCTCCATTCAAAACCTACACAAAGTCATCTGTGATTAAATAGCTTCAAGGCTCTATTAAAAACATTTTCAATCTAATAACAAGGGCAGCCTACAGGAAGCAAATCTGTAGCACCAATACACAATCAATCTTAGTTGATGTGCTGTTTCATGACACCAACGGTGCAACAGAGACAATACGAGACAGTATCAGGCATTTATTTGTATTGTCTCAGAATTTGAATACCCAAAAATACCGGATTTGTGTTGTCTCACTTTCCTGAGACAATGCACATGTATCGTCTTTGAAAAGTGAGACCAGTATTCTGTATGGTCTCAGATGACTGATCCCACCAAAACCGTATTTGATACACAATATATCTGGCCGTATTGAAGAAAAAACAAAAACAAAAACAAAGGCATTTTTTTCATTCGTAAATCCAAGTCCAAGAAAATATTTTTTTTCACCAACCAAGAAAATACTGATACCTATGGAGGTACTGAACCGCCACTTTGGCCAAAAAAATCAAAAATGAAAAAAAAAATGAATTCATCGGCCAATTTGGCCATACAGTCCTCCCATTGATGACCATTTTTGACACTGGTCATCAATGGGAGGACACACTCCCATCAAGGACCGGTCAAAACCGGTCCTTGATGGGAGTCAACCCCCCAAACACCCCCATTGATGACCGGTTTTGACCGGTCATCAATGGGATTAAACACCTCCATCAATGCCGGGTAAAACCGGGTCATGGAGGGGAGTCACCCCCCCCCCCCCCAAACGCCCCCTTGGATGACCGGTTATGACCGGTCATCGATGGGTTTAAACACCCCCAGCGATGACCGGTCATTGATGGGAGTACCCCCCCCCCCCCAAACACCCCCATCGATGACCTTTGACCGGTCATCGATGGGAGAAACACCCCCATCAAGGACCGGTTAAAACCGGTCCTTGATGGAGGCAAACACCCCCATCGATGACCGGTTTTGACCGGTCATCGATGGGAGAAACACCACCATTGATGACCGGTTTTGACCGGTCATCGATGGGGGAAACACCCCCATCAAGGACCGGTTTTAACCGGTCCTTGATGGAGGTAAACACACCCATCGATGACCGGTCAAAACCAGTCATCGATGGGGGAAACACCCCCATCAAGGACCGGTTTTAACCGGTCCTTGATGGAGGTAAACACCTCCATCAATGACCGGTTTTGACCGGTCATCTCTGGGGGCATTTTGGGGGAGTTACTCCCATCGATGACCGGTTTTGACCGGACATTGATGGGGGTGTTTAAACCCATTGATGACCGGTCATAACCGGTCATCCAAGGGGGTTGTTTATTCCCATCAAGGTCCAAACTGGCCCTTGATGGGAGGCTTACCCCATCAAGGACTGGTTGAAATCAGTCCTTGATGGGGGTGTTTATCATCCATGGGAGATGTACTCCCAGTCCCATGGATGACTGGGTGTATTGATGGGGCGTGTAGAGTCCAAGGGGTTGAGACGAGGTCACAAACCCCTTGGATACATGGCTAATTTGGCGGATCAGTGCCATGTTTGGCGGTCCAGGAGCAATCATGTCGGTTCAGGAGCATGGGTGGCCAATTTGGCGGTTAGATTCAATTTTCACTTTGGCCATTCTGGCGGTTCAGGGCCGTCATTTGGCGGTTATTTGGCCAAAGTGGCGGTTCATCCCCATGTTTTCATTTTTTTTGGCCAAAATGGCTGTTCAGTACCTCCATAGATACCGGTATCAGGCTCAAAATAAAGATGATATGATCTGATACGAATACATGTCTTGTATCTGTTGCACCGTTGATGACACCACCGTCAAATTGCACATCTCAGCAGAAGTATCTGAGCTCACCAAAGCATCTCAGTAAGAGCCCCATCAGGCCTCTGTCTGACAGAGTCTGATGCAAGGTTTCACTTCATGCTCTTGCCTGCTGGCAGACAACAAAACTTGGGTTTAAGTAAATACTGTACAATGTAAAGCTGTTGCAGTATGAAACCCAAATAAAGTATTGTTAAAGTTTGGGGTAGAGTAAAAGATCAAAGACATTATCTAAAGTTTATGTCAAGTGGCTAGACCAATTTGATTTAGGAAAATAGTAAAAAGGAGTGACATCCTATGTCAACCATCAGCAGCTTGGCAAGATTTTCTCAAAGTGTTGGTGGTGTGGACTGGTGGGTGTTGCCCTGGTTCAGATAACTTTAACCACCATCAGATCTACATTAAGCTTGCCATTAACCAAAGAAAACTTCTGCTTTCAGAGGACATGAATAAGATCAGTAACAAAAATGTTGATCTTTTTTTTTCCCCCTTCATTTATAATAGGCCAGTTCACACCTGAAGTTCAATGAAGTTTTTAGCACATTTGTAGATAAAATTTCGTGAATTTTGTCAAATCTCATGAATCATCAGGTTTGGATGAATTTGAGATTTTTGACAAATTTGTAAAATTTCAATGATAAATGTGATTAAACCCAGTTCAAATAGGGCATTTTTATTGACAAGTCTGAAAAGTCGCACTGCTTGTTGCTTTAACTGATTGCTTATGTTGTGTGTGGGACTTCACCAAAGCTTTAATCGAGATGTTGTTAATTAGCGTTGCTCATCACAGAAATTTCATTTGGGAACAAGCAGCAACATGAACTGGCCTAATATATTCTATCTCACGTATTCTCCAAAAAAACAGCATCCAAGAGTTGAAAGCAAACCGCACAATTTCTTTGTTCCAATTCCCAATGACCTGCCAGGGCAAAGCTTAACTATGTAGTCCCAAGGGCGCCCCAGTAGACAAAGCGACCCATTCAAAGAAGGGTTTCTTTGACAAGGACCAAGGTGTCTGGACACATGGCACAGGCTTCCCAGATCTTAACAGGCCACACCTCTTGAGGCACTTAAAAACAACGAGAGGCGTGTGTCAATATGTAATAGACGGGATACAGCCTTGTAGATGACAGTTGTATATAGATGCGACAACCAGAATCAGAATATGTAATATGATGAGCTTCAAACCTAGATAATATCATGACGTGGATCCTTTATTCAAACGCGAGAAGAAGTGGACTGCCCGGTTGATTTGGGATATGACCTCCACGCACCCGATGATTGCGTTCAAACTGCCTACTAAATAAGCGAGTCCACAACCACCTGATCAGGGCAATCAATGACATCTCCATCCACACGTTTTGTATAATTTTTCAGGTTATTTGTTTTCGTCATTCATCAGCTATGCTCATCATTATCTAAGCAGAAGAAGGATGGAAAGAGAGTGAAAGAAAAAGAGAGAAAAGAGAGAGAGAGAGAGAGAAAGGATGATCATGAAAAGCTAAGTGATCATTGTGATTTGTTTTGATTGTTATTAATTAGCTCTCAAAATTCTTGCTGTGATAAGATTCATACTAAGCATATCAAATTTCTAGAAACAGATGAGAGAACAAGAAGCGGGTGGTGGCGGTGACAAGGATGTGAGTTTTATTTTCGAGCACCTTGTTGTTTCTGTTTCTCGTGGCAATTCTTGAACGCATCCAAGAGACTATTCCAGACGGTAAGCTGACTTTGCGCGGCATCCACGCCGACCCAGATCCCGCGTTTCTTGTAGTATTGGGCCACCAGGTCGGTCTGTTTGTGGTAGCCTAGAAGCCGCTTTCGTAATGTGTCCGCATTGTCGTCTGAGCGCGCGATCAACGGTTCTCCAGTGATGTCATCTTTCATCGGCGACTTTGGTGGACTGTTTTTAGGGACAGAGTCAATGTCAGATGATCATCATTGGTGGTAAAGGGATCAGTGGACAAGAGACTCCCCAGAAATCCTCAAGGACTCCAAAGAAATAGGAAAACTACTTACGCAAACTCTCGATGGTAAGATCGACCACTGGCTGGATGGATGAGTCGGCCAGTAATTCGACTAACCAGGAGGTTGTCATCGATCACCAGTTCGGCAGCCAAGTCCAAGTTTTGCTTCTTATTTGCCAACATCTCGTCCAATTTCTCAGCTTGAGCGATCGTTCGAGGGAACCCGTCCAAGATGAACCTATTGATTTTACGATCATTAGTATCTCGATTCCCCACGGTTCACTCGACTTTCTCTTTTATCACTCTGGTGATTATTCGGCTCACCCTTTGGCACAATCTTTGTTGCTCTCGAGTTGGTCTTTGATCATGTTGACCATGATCTCATCACTCACTAAGCCCCCGCTATCCATGATCTTCTTCGCCTCTTTGCCGAGAGGAGTGCCCTTGGACACTTGATCTCGTAGCATGTCACCAGTCGCCAAATGACACACACAGTATTTGTCCTTGATCCTGGGCGCTTGGGTTCCTTTACCTATTTTTTTCCAACATTCGTGTTTTGTCGCTTCTTGTTAATTTTTTTTTGTTCCTTTTTTACATAAAAAACAATCAGATGATCGATTTAATCTTTACTCACCAGAGCCGGGTGGTCCCATTAAAACGAGCCGAAGTTGTTCTGCCGGCGATCTATCAAGGGTTTTTTTTATGAAAGAAATAGGCTTTGTTATCATACAACTTCTTGAGATCATTCAGATTTCAAAGAAAAAAGAAAAACTGACGGTTTAATGGTTTCCGAAACAACCGAGCCAGCTTGTTTTTCCAAGTTTTCAATCTGCGGGGATACCAAACCATCCAAAAAATTGGCGAAAGAATCGATCAACATCACAAGGGGGAGACCACATAATCGCAACTTATGAGGAAGAGGTTTCCTATGGAAACAGGCAATTTTAGAGGAAGAGGCAGACGAACCTTCAACGACAAGTCGGAGACGAGTTTCTTGAGGTAGCTGATTTCGGTAGCTTGTGAGCCACTGATGGACCCGCCATGTTGGTCCAGTTGACGCTGTTGGTCACGAGGCAAGCTAGCTGGGGGCAAGTTAGAGTCCCTGGTTCCGCCGGTAGTCGTGGTAGCCTATGTATGACGTGCCATTCGATTGCCTCCGTCAGAATGTCTGTGTCTGTCGTTTGATGGAAGGAGAATGATCGGAGCGATGATCGGGATGACTTACCATGTTCGCTGGGAGGTTTGCTGAGTTCCCAAGTGGTTCAGCTGGTTGTTGGGTTGTGGTTGTTGGTCTGTCTCCTCCGTCCACGTGGGGGGTAAGCCATAGAAGGAAGGGAGTGTATTGCATACCCACCCCACCCCACCCACCCCCCTGCCTCACCCCCTATTCTTCCCTATGGATTCCCCAACCACTTCCGGAGTTTTATCATTTTGTATCTCAACTCCTATTCCTCAAAAGATCCAACTGATCACATCAAATCAATTGAAGTAACCTGGAAACAAGCATCTTGATATTTTTATTGAACTAACATGTTTTTGAGCATCAGAAACAAAAAAATAACAACCAACATTGCAATGAATGGACAAAATAAAACATGTACTCCTTGATCACTACTTCTATGATCTGAGTAGTTTTTCTTTGGGGGAGTTTATATCTAGGTCTCATCAATGACCTACTAAAGGATTGTTAGCATGATTGATCCAATTTGAACTACCCAATTTTGGTAACACATGAAGTTTTCCTTGGTATTTAACATCAAAAAACTTCATAAGTTCCCTATGTGACACTCCTCAACACAGCTTCTGGGGGCCTGGAGTACTAGTGCAGGTTACATAATACCAACTCAAGGCTAAATCAGTCAACTCTTTAGATTCATCAGCACTTGATCCAGTTATCATTCTCTCATTCCTCACACACCCTTTGTCTGTTGAAATGCAAATGTTTCCCAGACCCTGAAACAGTTGTTCTACCTTTGTCATCTCCACATTCAACTGTTACTGGTATGTTCAAATTCCCCCAACAACTTTTGTACATTGCACATGCTTTGTTGGAATTATGCTATGTATTTGACCTCCTCTTTGTCTCTCTTCTCTCTTGTGTCAGATGAATATGCATGTGTTTTCAACTACTTTCACACAGCTCAACCCCAGTTGTGATAGATTATAATTAGCTCTGGATCTAGTAGATAAGAAATAAATTATCAATTCTTCTGGGTCCAATCCCTGTGGCCACAATCATACAGCTATTACTTGTAGTGAAAGTACTTTTCCACCTCACAAGCTAGCAGACTGACTACAGGAATATGGGGTTTTCTCCATCCTGCTTTTGGAGTTGTTGGATCATTTTCCTGCTTGTCTCATCTTTCTCTGCCCACTAGGGGCCTTCATTTCTGTTTCAGCCAACTAGGTCCAGCAGAAATGGATGAATATGTAGCAGGATAGATTTCATCAGAAAAAGAAAGAAAGACTGAAATGAAAAAAGACAAACAAAAGAGAAAGGAAAGAAAAGAAAGAAAATGGCTTACCTATGTAGGTCCAGCAGAAATGGATGAATGGAAGGATTGGGAAACCATTCATTCACCCTGCTGGCCTCACCAACAATGAAACCGATACGGTATTGGCCAATGTATTGGATCGGATCAATTTTTCAACACAGGTATCAAAAAATGTAGGATTGGATTGCTAGGGAAATCTGATCCTGGGGTATTGGATCAAATTAGCAATCCGATACCCAAAGGCTGTAGGCCATGTATTTATTGGGTATTGGATCAGAGCAAGCCCCAATACCGGGTATCAGGATTGGATCTCTCTATGCAATATCAGTTCTTTGAAAAACTGGGATTGTATCAGAGATTGATCTGATCCCAATACCCGGCATCGGGACTCATTTTGATCTGATCCCCGATAAATACCAATACAGGGATTGGATCTGTTACATTGTTGGCCTCACTACAAAAAATGTTGAATTGCATTCTGCAAATGCACGGTAACATTGCAAGTCACATGCAAGGTGACATTTCATGTGACATGTGATGTTACCGCGCATATGCAGAATGCAATTCAAATGTTTAATAAAGGGTGGATTTTTTCAAACCAGTCAATTAAATAATGGTGGATTTGGTTATATCATGGGGTATCAAATATTATATAGGACATCCACCATTAGAAACCAGTCACTTTTTTCAGCACTTTTTTTTGCATCAATGGGCCCCCAAAGGGGTTAAATGAAGAATGAACATGTTTAAAAAAAGGTGAATTTTTACAAACCAGTTGATTGAATCATGGTGGATTTGGTTATATTTGATATAACACCCTAATAGAAAGTATGCCAAAATTTGCTAAGAACTTCAGAAGTGAACCAGCCTACTCCAGACAAAGCTGTTTTTTTTTTTTTTTTTTTTTTTTTTTTTTTTCATTCTTCAAAACAAAGTTAAACAGATGATGCAAGTGAGAACACCTACATACACTTTGCAGGCCTGAGCTGGAGATCATAACCGCCAACCCAGTCCAAAGCCGGATTTAGGTGACATTCCTAATTACATGGACCTCCATCGTTTGGCGGGTTCTGTCAAACTCCCGGCAAGGTTAATTATCTGTGCAGAAAATCTCATGGAATCAGATGGATCGATGAGCTCTTCCGGTCTCCAGTTTCTGAAATCCGTGATCATGGAGATCCGATTGATTTCCTGCGGCCAAAGCCCAACCAAAATTAGCCCTAATTTAATACAAAGAAGAAGGAAAGACAGACAATAAGCTCCTGCTTTGAGCTAACAAATATGGCCAACTCTCCTTCAAATCCAGCAAACCATCCATGGTTGTCCAACAACTCCATGCATTCTCCTCCACCGACACAATCCTCTGCCTGATAACATAGTAGTGAAGTGTTGATCTTCTGATTGCAGATGATTCTACCAGACTTCCAAAAGACTCCATGGGAATATCATGTCTTCAAAACAGGAACCCAAAATAACCCGGCTGTCTTGATCAACCAAACACAAAGTCAACAGATTCTTAGTGCGTTTCAAGAGCTTACAGATGTGGACATTCCAAGTTTCCTTCAACTTACAACCTCTTTCTGAATGATCACACTACTTTGGGAGGTAGACCTTGGAGAGGGGAAAAACAGAGGATTTGGCTGGACTTGTCTCTTGTAACAATCGTGGTCGTTCTGGACGCGATGAGTGTGGAGAATGGGTGGAGTAGGATTGGGACTGGTCGTTCTGCTGGTGACGATGTCACCGCTTTGGGTGGTAATCGCTCTGGATCAGGGGTGGTGGCGGGACAGTAATAATTGCTCTGGCGATGGTGACGGTTGGGCTGGTGGTAACTGGTGGGATCCCATGAGGGCCGGATTGCAGAGACTCTATACAAGAGACAAGGCTCGTCAGACATGTTCACTGCTTTCTCTCAACCAATCTTGAACACTGAACAAGATCCCTCTCCTGCATTTTTTTTTTTTTTTTCAAATTGGATCCTAAATTCCTGTGCATTTCTGTATCTCTATTTCCCTTGATCTATTTTTTTTCTCTTCTTTTTTTGAAAGCACCATATTTCATGACAAGATACGAGGGAGAAAATATTTTCCTGTGCATTTCTGTATCTCTATTTCCCTTGATCTATTTTTTTTCTCTTCTTTTTTGAAAGCACCATATTTCATGTCAAAATACGAGGGGGAAAAAACAAACTCTATTGTGGAAGAGGGGCGGAAGCAATCCATGTAAAATCGGAAAAAAAAACGAGAGGAGGACGAGAGTAGAATAAGAATACAACAACGATCACCAACCAAAGATAAGTTTCGTATGGATGAGATTAATGATGAAGCGATTCCGTCAAATTAACGATCCGATGAAACCCGGCCAACTTCTTCTTATCAGCCAGTTCCTGGATTGCGAAGACAGATTCGCGCTCATTCCAAGACGAGGAAGAAGAATTATGAGAGAGCGGGGTCAAGGAGTAATTGATTTCGAGAGCGGTTAAGGGGCCGCCATAAGCCGATGAGATGCCTGCACATCCCGAGATTATTGAAAAAAACATGAGGACTACATAGGATGAAGAGTGGAAAAAAAAGAAGAAGAAGTTGAGACGGACCAGTATCGATCAGTAAAATCTTGCCCCCACATCGACTGGAGATTCCTTTAAACTGAGGCGTATGACCCATGACCATCCTTCTGACATGGAGGCGTTGAGTAGCGATTTCGATCTGTCTACAGATGCGCCTCTCGTCGTCTTCGAGGGCATAGGAGCGTTCCCAGAGGGGGCCGTGTTCGGCATAGAGCTTTGCCTCTTCGGGCGGGGTGTGAGGGGGGAGATGGTTGTAGGGGATCGTGCCGGCGAGGGCGCGGTGGAGGAGCGAGTGGCCGATCCGGTTGATCTCCGAGATCCCGAGACTCGCATATTCGGGCGTGATGCCGCCATGGACAAAGACCGTGCCGGCGTCCAGAAACGGGTCGCTCTCTTCTTCCCCTTCTTCTTCAGTGAAACTCTCCGTGAACCGTCGGGTGGTCGATGTTTGCGATGAGCGTCGAGGTAACTCTTTGAATCCTAGCGGATAGGGTATCCTGGCCGTCACCGAATAGTTCGCCTCCCATGTCTTCCCGATCCATCCTTGCGTCGACATCACCTTTCGGCGACTCTCGGCACTCCCAAAGGTCTCGATGTCTTCCTTCGTCACATATCTCCAATCTCCTAGCGCATTCATGTACTGCATCCATTATCAGTGCGGTTTGGAAAATGATATCTGTTTTTTTTTTCTTACTGGGAATGACGAGCGTGGTTAATAATTACTAACTTCATGATTTCCAAGGAGGCTGACCACTGCTCCGCCGGCGGCTTGAGCTTCCGTTCGCAAAGCGTCCATCCACTACAGAAAGAAGACTTGATCAGAAGGTAAATTATCGAGCGAGTAGAGAGAGAAGGAGAGGATACCTTATACAACAAGATGGTAGCTTTGCCTCTGTCGACGATATCGCCGGTCTGAACCAAGATCGAAGGGCCGCCGATCCATTGATTGCGCAAGTCGACCACTCCAGCCATCCTGAGTACCCGCACGGCATGGTCCAGGTCTCCATGTAGATCGCCCACGGCGACGATCCGACTGGAGAACTTCTTGAGGTTCGAGGGCGATGATTGATGTTGAGTGTGATGGTTCTTCTTCGGCTTCGGCTTCGCCTTCGACGATCCACTCGTGTCCCGGTAGATATACTTGAAGATGATCACCAGACTGATGACTGTGATGAGCAGTCTCCTCTGGCGATACAGGAGCCCCAACATCTCGTGTCTCTCGATTGAAGCTGGGTGGTGTTGAGTGTGGTTTTTGTTTGTTGGTGGTGCTCTGTTTTGCTGGAGTGGCGCATATAATCACAGCAGTCTCAACACCCCCCTTCAGCCATCCCCACCCTCAACACACACCAACTCAATACACACCAACACTTTCTTGGCCTTCTTCCCAACCCCATCCTTCAACTTCCTCTCTAATTGCATCTTCCCAATCTGGTGAGAAAAACCATCATCATCATCAGCTTTCTAGGTTCTCTTTCTCATATCAACTAATCTTCAAATCATCAACCATACATTCACTCATCAACCAACCAGCCCAGTCAACGGAGCTACCAAGAAATCAACATCCAAGCACAGGAGAATGGGGATGGACTTCGGGGGATCTGATCGGCGGCCGTTTGAAGAGATCTGGATCCGCTTGGAAGGGCTGCCGACTGACGCGAGCTACCCGAGTCTGGGCTCGTTCATCGAGAGGCTTCGAGCGGACCCAACGGTGGATTTGCCGGGGCGCCCAAGCCTGGTTGATCTTGTCCGACCGGCATCCTTCAGCCAGTGGGGAGTGCGTGCGATCGTTCGACTCGTCCGGCCCGCCGAGCTGGACGATCAGGAGGCCTGGATCGCCCGGCTGCTCGAGGCCGTTGGGCGCCTCAAACTGGCCGGCCTTTCGAGTGTTTGTCGAGGCCCTGCTGGCTCCTTGACGCCCGTCGAACCCGTCCTGCTCGCCCCACCATCCCATCCACCCTCCTCATCTCTCCTCCAACCTTTGCCCTTGAATATACCCATCACCTTCGAAGCTTTGATGTCCAAGAAGAAGAAGAAGAAGAACAACAAACGCCATCCCAAACGCCAACGCACTCTGGCTCCCTCTGATCAAATCCAACACGCCACTCAATCCCTCGCCAAGCTCAAAACCCGCGAATCCGACTTCCTCGCCGCCAAGGGTCTCCTCGAAGAACGCTCAAATCGGCTCTCTCCATTCCAAAAATTCGTCAAAAACATTGTCGTGACTTCCAGCTCTAATTTATCTGCCTAGTCCCTCTCCCCTTTCTGTATGTTTGTTGACTGCTACAGTTAGAAATCAAACGGATGTACAGTGCCCTCCCAGATGTATATAGCCAACTTGTTTGGATTACACAACCCTAACCCACCAACTTGCAATCATGAGACTTGGGCAAGTGGTATAAAAGAGGTTTCAGAAAATGATTCTGAAAACAAAAGTATGAAAAACCAATTTTCAAAATTTTCAAAAAATATTACAATTATTGCACTTTTTTCAAAAGTCTTAATATTGCTCCAAATGAAAAAATAAAAATTGGAAAGAGTGGTATAGTATGCAAGAAGAATGATAATAAATGAAAAAAATCAAAACCAGAAATTATTTGGACCTCAGTATCCAGCTCAAAACACAAATTGAATTGGATAGCACTGCCTCCTCCACTGTTTTTTTCCACTGTGAGACTGATGAATGTCTCCCTCCACACCAGTTTAAAACCATCTGGTAGTTATTTTATCATAATTTTCATTTATTATCATTTCTCCAGCATACCATACTCCAAGTTCCAATTTTTATTTTTTCATTCAGATCAATATTGAGACTTTTGAAAAAAGTGCAATAATTGTAATATTTTTTGCAAATTTTGCAAATTGGTTTTTCATACTTTTGTTTTCAAAATCATTTTTTGAAACCTCTTTTATACCACTTGCCCAAGTCTCATGATTGTAAGTTGGTGGGTTAGGGTTGTGTAATCCAAACAAGTTGGCTATATACATCTGGGAGGGCACTGTACATAAACAAATTGCTTATTTATTGGGGCCTGTACTTTGTTGTTGAAAAACCTGCTGTCTTGTACATATACAAAAATTCAAATCAATTCCAGAAATCTGTTCTTTTATTTTGTTTTTTAGGCTACATATAAAACTGGCTTCTTGGTGATGTCACTGATGGATGCTCACTTTTGATGATAGGAAATTGTGAGCAAGATAAATCTGGATGAATTGGATTTTCATGGCTTGGGGTACAGCCCCCTTAGGCCCCCTTACACATGATGTTTCGAATACTGATACACATCTAAAATCTGAAATAATCCAACACATCAACTACATAACAATTGAATCATTTGAGAGAGAAAAAGACATGTATAATTGATGTTGATTTACTTGTGAGTATTGTTAAATATTTTTTCATTTATCAGCGAAACAAAAAGATGACAGTGATAAACAAAACAGAATTAGTTTTTGGAGGTTCTTGGTTGAGAGAATATAATCAGAAAGAAAACATTCTTTTTTTTTTAAAAAAGAACAAGGTTTATTCAATAGATAAGAAAAAAACAAAGATCATAAATATAGCCAGAAAAAGACTTGAAAAGGGTATCAAAAACAACCCGGGAACAACAATAAGATAAGAGAGAGAGAGCGTGTGTTGAGAAACTTGGGGAGGGAAAAGAAAGAGGAACAGAAGCTAGTACAGACATATATGGAGATCAACTTGAACAGCCCTTGAAAAAAAAAAAAAAAAAGAAAGGGAAAGGGAAAGAGGAGGGAAAGCAAGAGACACGAGACCCGGAAAGTTGACGAGAGAATCAATTTTTCAGCTGGGTCCTAGATTTCCGTTTGAGAGCAGCGAGACTGATTTCGGATCCGGATGGACTAAGATTACTAGACGGACGAGGGGAAGGAGAATTCAGGAGAGGAGTTGACCGAAGGGGGAGATTGTCGGGAGCAGAAAGAGGAAGGTCGGAGGGTCTTTCGAGGGACGCGGAGGAGGCGGGGGGACGCCGCCGACGCGTAGAGGAGCCCGGAGGGTTCGAGGAGTCTCTGCTTTTCTCGATCACCACGGCCGAGAGACGAGCGCGTTTGTGGGAAGAAGAGGGGCCAGCAGGAGTGTCGCCAGACTGAGGATGTCGGGCTGATCGCTTCCGCTTCGGGCCCTGAGGGATGACCACCGAGACCACCGAGGATCCGCGGGGGTTTGAAGAACTCGGAACGCGCGACGAGGAGAGCGGGGAACGGGTGCGTTGGCCTCGCCCTGGCTTCCTCGTCCTCCCTTCTCCAACCGTCTCTTCAGAAACTCCTTCATCGTCTGTCTCCGCACTCGTCTCTCGCGCCTTGAGCTTCCCCTTTTTCGCCCGAGGCTGGGGCTTCCGCTTCGTTTTCGTTCCAATCGTCGGCGGCGGTCCCATCTCGGCCCCCTCATCCCCATCATCGTCCTCATCGGCTGCTTGACGTCGACTAGTCCCGTCGGCCACGCCTTCTTCTCCAGCCGAAGCTTCAGCGCCATTCTGTTTCTCTAATGCAAGCCTTGCTGCACGTTTGATATCTGAAAAAAAAAGAAAAACATGTACATAGATTATTATCACTAAAAGAACTTGAACGAGGATGAATAAAAGTCTTACTTGGATCTTTAGCCATGGTAGAGATTAACCGTCTCAAGTAAAGTTGATAAGGGTCCCAAGACTTGGATGTTGGGATCGTCAGTTCGCGCTCTTCGACGAGCCGTTCCATGTCAGCTTTTCTGAAGCCCCCAACAACAAGAATGAAGTCAGTAATGAAAAACAGTATAGAGGGACTGAGAAAAGGACGAACATCTTGAGACAAGAGCGGCCGTCTATGCCGATCAACAAGAGCGCCAAGCCCTTAAACAAGGTGCCCAGCTTATTGATCGAAGGTCGATCAAGCTCAGGCTCGGTAGCTTTCCCGATAAGCCAATCGATACAATCGACATGTAACTTGGCGGCCGAGGAGGAATCGAAGCGGGCTTTGTAACTCATCCTGGGCCCACGGATGATCACCACAGATTGCAACAATCGAGAGAGACGGATGAATTGGTCTTCCGTGTACTCCTCATCGGCTAGATATAATTCAAATGACTGAACCCAAGGAGAAATCAGTAAAAAAATGATCAATGTAATGTTTATAGAGAGACACAGATGGACGTAAGGAAGGAAGAGAGGCCAAGAGACGCACGGCTTTAAATACATCGATTAAGCAACTGATGACCAAACTGATCTGGTCCGGAGAGTTAGAGATCTGTTCGGTAAGGGTAGCCACAAGCAACTCGACGGAAATATCAAAGATCTTATTGAACCGAGTGAAATGTTGGATGATGACTACGGAGTGTTGGAAGTCGATCATCCCACATCGGATCGACTTCGCATACGTGGTCACCAACAGATCAAACTCTTCTAGCCGACGAAGTTCATCCACACTCGGTGGCATCTTCATTCCTGTTTTTTCTTAAGAGAACATGCAGAGCACAGAACACAAAAAATGACAGTTAGTAAAAGTGTGTGTTTTTTTTTGTTGGACTTTCCAGAATAAGAGACACAGATTTGATCAAGAGAGAAGTTCCAAATTGCTCAACTAGATTGATCGATTATGGCTTTAGATTTCGACTTCAGAGGAGATTTTTTCTTTGATTTTTTGTTATTCCTAGAAGGACCAGCAGCCTGATCATCGAGACCATCTTCGTCCAGAGGATCGTCATCTTGACCAACAACAGCAGTAGTAGCCTTATTCTGATCGACAAAGTTCTGGATTTCGAGCTCGATGAATCTCGCACATTTGATCTGGGTTTCCTCATCACATCTGAGCCTTAAATCTTCTGGTATCAGGGTCCCTTGACAAAGTAAATAAGTGTTCAAGAGATGGATAAATGCCTGGCAGAAATATCAGGTATCAATTGGTAAGCAATGGTATTCCTTGAAAATAAAAAACAAGACTGTACTATCAAACTTACAGCTCTTTGAACCGACAGATCGACGGGAGAATTCGGATCGAAAGCGGATTGAGTCAAAAGGGTAACCAAGTTATCTCGAGCCATGATCCCGTACTCCAGCTTAGTAGCCAATAAGGACGAGCTTCCTTCGCCAGTCTCAGGGACGGCCGATGAAGTTTCATTGGCGAGCGTTAGACGATAAATCGATGCGCTCGTCCAAGTAAAGTTCAGTTGAAGGATCTCCATGGCTACTTCGACCAACTGGAAAGAACAATCAAGTCATCAATCAATGCGTTGCTTAAGAACAGGAACTTCATTTTTTAATGTATATGTTTTTTCTAACCTGAGCTTCGTGTGGGTGTGCTAGATGAGCCCGTTTAGCAAGAGCATTGATCAACTCATAAGGACTGATGGAGCCGGATGGATCCGACTCGGCACTTTTAATGCTTGAAGACATATCACTTTGTCGGAAGAGACGGGCGATTTTGGTGAGCAGAAGGGTGAGAGAGAGCGATTGATCTTCCCGGAGTTCATCCTTCTCAAGGTCTGTGCGATCGGCCGTCAGATCGTAAAGACTGGACAACAGAGCCTCGTGAAGCTTGAGGATCTTCGCTTGACTGATATGTTCTAACGATTTTGAGTCGCTTAATACATGGGCAATCGTTGACGAAATCACTTGGATGGTGCCTAAGTTTTGCTGCTTGAGATACTGTTTGATCATCGTGTCCCACAGTTTCTCAAATGCCTGCCACCGAAGAGAAAAGTAAATCAACCGTCTCTCCGGCATTCCAAACGACTCCTACAATCACAGCACTTACAGATACCATTCTTAGATCCAGATACATGTTTAAGCACATGAGCTTAGGGATTCGAAAGACTTCGGCCAATTTCACTGGATCAGTCACAAATTTCGACCAGAGTTTTGGCAATAGATTGATCATGACTCGGGTCAGATCGGTCTTATTTTCGGGTTCATCTTCGGTCAATTCTTGGAGCCGACGAGCGACGGTAGCCTCATCCTCCGTGGTTGCTCCTTCCTCATCAGTTGCTTCCGGCTGTTGACGCTTCTTCATCTTCCTCTTCTTCATCTTCAAAGCTTCTGTTGGCGTCAGTGTTGAACCAAACTTTCTAAGAGAAGCCACCAAGACTTCGACCAAGATGTTTTCCTCTGATTCACTTAATTTACAAGCATCGTCAATCGTCGTTGAGTTTTCGGCTGTGTCTTGATGAGCTTCCTCGTCAGCAGAACCCTCCATATCGGTATTGGTCAGCGAGACACTGCTACGACCAGGTTGAGCAGGTACGGACGAGGTCTGGGTACGATTGGTTGAAGCGGTGTGGTCAAGCAGTAAGTACTGACAGAGCGCCTGCCAGTCATGTAAGACTTCCACTCGAGGCCACAGATCCTCGACAGCGAAATCTACCCTTCCTTTCTCTGAATCATTCTGATAGAGCGAGCCGTAGTATTGAGCAGCGAGTTCGGGATCATCCTGACCAACTTCTTCGTCTTCCGAGTTACTCGATTCGCCGTCATCCCCTCCAGAAGCGCCTGACTTTGATTCCCGTTCTAACTTGAGTAACAGATGGGCTAGACACTTGAATGCGATTTGCGTTTCTAATTCAGCGGTACGCGATTTCTGTTTGGGGGCTCTACCCTTACTCGGCGATTGAGCGACCGCATCCAGACGCGTCTTTCGAGCCTCGAAGGTCTCTTCGAACATGTTAGCAAAGAATGCGCTGGCAGCTTTTCGGACCCTCGAATCCTCGTGATAGATCAGCCGTCCGAGCTGATTCCTCTGTCTTGAATCTAACAGGCCATGTCGGTCGATCTGGGTCACGATATTGATCGAAAGACATCGAGTCGTGAAGTCGCTCTCTCCCGTCGCCATCTCGATCAGTCTGGGCCTGAAACGCGAAGTGAAATGCTGCATGACCCCGATGTTCTCTTCTTTTGAATAAAGCGTAGATAGGGCTCTTAAGGCCTCATTCCGGGCATCCTTATGCTAACAGGCCCAGAGGAATTCTATCAGTTGATTGCTTTGAATTTCATTTTGATGTTCTCATTTGACTGACACTGTCTGTTAAAACCCAGCCAATGTATCGTAGATAGTTACCCTCAAGGAAGTATTCTGGGACCATGGCCATCCACTGCCCCAGAGCTTGCACACAATCTACTCGGATGTTAGGATCTGCATCACGATATCTATGAACAAAAACCCTGCGTGACGAAGAAGAGAGAAAAGCAAAAGAGAATTCATTTGTTCGTGTTGTTTGGAGTGTTAAAAATCTATGGAAATGGACGAACCCATCAAAAAACTCGCTAATGAAATTTTCGAGCGCAGTTTTCTCTTGAAGGACTTGCTTTTTCCGTTTCTGCCATTCGGCTAGTTGATCAAGTTTGGAAGAACTGGCATGTTTTTTAGCAGCTTCGACCTCGACCTTCCTACTCAAACTAGTTAACTCCTTCTTCGCACTAACTAATAATTCGCACAGAGGACTGACGAAGCCGAAGAGACTCATGACAGTAGAGGTATGTCTAAAGGATCTTAGAGTCGACGAGCTCATCGAGACTAAATAGGATTGAACCAGAGGGATGAAATAATCATCGTATAGAATGCTATTGGAGTGGGCTAGTAGAAGTAGTTGATGGTTCAAATTGATCAGATTCTTGCGGAAGTTCTTAGACACGGATTTTCCGGATTTGACGATCAAAGGATAGGCTTGACTTGGGACCTTCTTGAAGGTTTCTTGGATGGTATCGAGTGTGTCAGTGACCGCATCGATATCCAATGCTTTGTGCTTATCGATGCTGCAGTTACATCCGCAGGATCGTAGGATGAAGTTGATCAATTGAGAGATCGCCTGTCCCTTCGCATCTTCGTCATCCTCTCCGGAGCCTTGATAGACGTCCATCCAATCTTCGAGGGTCGGTTGGATAGCAGAAGCTCCCATTCGGATGGTATTGAAGAGGTCATTATCTTGATGGATTTCGTATTCTGTTTGAGGGATCCCAGCCCCCTCGGGGTTTTCCTGATTGGTCTCATTGCCGTCTTGTTCAGCATCCGCGTTTTTCTTCTTCAGAGCTTTCGAGTTGCTTTGCCGAGGTTTCCTGACTCTAGGTACTTTGGGAGCAGGCTTTCGTCCTCCGCCTCGACCTCGACCTCGACCTCGACCCCTGCCTCGTGACTTTGCGGTAGATTTTGGGGTGAAGTCGTCGCTCTGGTTGGAGGAATCAGAGTGTCGATCGGTTTCTTCTCTATCCTCATCATCATCGTGATCGTGATCAGAGTTTGATGGGTTGGTTTCTGATGTTCTGTTCTCGTTTGATTGTCCTTCGCCTGACTCTTTGTTCTTCTTCTTCTTCTTCTTGTGCTTCTGCTTTTCGATCTTCTCTTTGATCGACGGTGTTGGCAATGGTCCGGCTGCACTGTTCTTGATTCTTGTGTTTGGTTGTGATGATGAGCTGGTCTTCTTCCTGGTCGTGCTTGTGTTTTTCTTGTTGTTGTTACTCATCCTGGATGGTTGTCCTGCTGCTATTTACTATTGGCTAGTCAATCAGACAAACAAACCAAAATTTCCAAATTTACATGTCGCGACTTTCTTCGGGGCCACCCGGACACGCTCACGCTCTCAACACCGAGTCCCCGTATGACTGCATCCGGGGTAGATGTATGCGGGCATACAATCATACAGCCACCCATCAAAACAGATGAGGGGGTGGATCAACTAAAAACTGGGCCCGAAAAATATTGGAAGTTCTTGTGATTTCTCTTTCCATATTTTATAAATTGCTGAACCAAATACTTGCCATCAGATAACTTGAAACACAGTATGACTCAAAGAAACAATCATGGACTGATCAAATTTATTCTTGTCTCCCCTCATTCAAATTCTATGGAGACCCAGAGACTTGTTTATTTTTGGAAAATGAATTCTTGTATGTATTGCTCCTATGTATAACAGCAAGTTAACTGATCAACAGTATACAGAAAGGGCTCTCACAGCCATAAACAGAAAGAAACAAAAAAACGCATCATGTACGCGACAATCGATATTGAAGACGATTCTGGAGCTCATAACCATAAAACTAGGGGGATCGAAAAAGGGGGATCTCTTGATCATCTCAGCACGCCAAAAGAGAGCTTCAATCTTTCTTACGAATCAAGCTGGATGATTTCATGGAGAATTTGATTCTGAGCCATTCGAAACATCCATGTTGGCCATCACTTATATAACTGTCCTCATGAGAACTGAAACAAACATACAAACACTAGTTTTAGCAACCGAGGAAAAGGAAACAAACAAACAAAAAACCCGGATTGGAAAGATATATGTATATGTAGATTTACAACAGTCTTGAACATCTAGTAAAGACTTCTTCCGACGCAGCGGGTGAACGAAAAAAAAAAAAATACATGAGATGGATACGAGAGCGATTCGCCGAGCTCACATTCTTCCCTCGATCGGGGCGTCATTGAGGTTGACGATCTTGTTGTACATGGGTTGGGGGGGTTGGATGGGAGGAAGGGCAGGCTTCGCGGAAGACATGCGAGCCTGGCGGATTTTCTTCTTAATTTCCTCGACTGACGGGATCGAGTATTGGCCCTCATGGCGCAATCGGGTGATCCAATCAAACCTACGATCGTATCTAAATTGTTCGTCGAGGAACCGGGCACGGAAGACCGCACGAAGGTGTTCGTAGTCGGGTTTCTCATCAAATTCTAAGGCGCCGGCATAGTCGACCAAGTACTTGAACTCCGCTGGGAGGCCCCGGCAAAGCTCCTCGGAAGAGATCGAGAGCTTGGCCTGAAGGATGCTGTGGTGTTTGAGCGCCTTCGGCTTGGCCGGCTCGGCTCTTTCCCATGGCAAGCCGCCTCGAAGGAAGTAGATCAACATGTAGGCCAGAGAGGCCAAGTCATCCCGACGAGATTGTCGGATGCCTTGGTGGTTTCTGATCGACGCGTATCGCGCCGTACCGGTCATATTTAAGTTCTCGGCGTAGCCCACATGTGCGTGCGTCAACACATCCCGGTACCTCTTCGCAAGTCCGAAATCGATCATGTACAATTGATTGGCAAGCTCCCCGACGCCGACTAAAAAATTCTCCGGCTTGAGGTCTCGATGGACGAAGCCGCGCAAATGGATTTGCTCCAAGCGACAAAGCTTCATCACGTCCAACGTCAGAGAACATAGCGGAGGAAATAGTCGTCAATTTCTCACTCCAGTTGATCAAAATGAAGGGGCGCTACTTACGAGCTGTTCGGCGATGAGCAGAACAGTCTTCAAGGTGAACCTGCGATTGCAGTAGTTGAACACGTCCTCGAGGCTTGGACCGAGTAAGTCCACAACGAGGGCATTATAGCCATGCTGGATGCCGAAATATTTGAAAGTGCTAAAACAGAAGCATTTCAGTCATGATCTAAACCCTCCTAATGATTTAAAATATAGAAGAAGAAAAATAGATAGACGACTTACGGGAAACCGACCATCCCGCTGACACACATGTACACTTGGGCTTCGTGAGCAAGAGTCGGGTGCCGCGCTGCGGTACTCTCAAGCTTGATGGCGACCTGATTGCCCGTTTCCATGTCTTCTCCAAGGTGGATGTCGCCTGGAATATGGTTCATGGTCATTATCCTTCTGAGTTAGTAAGGGCTGCTTGTCTCAATATTAAAATCTCATCCTAAAAAATCTCGCTGACCAAATGATCCCTTTCCAATCTTCTGGAAAAGACGATACTTGGGTTGAATTCCAAACGTCAACGCCATCTTATTTGTTCTTATTTATTTATTTTTTAGCTGGAGCTTAGGTTGTTTGGGTCGGGACGGCTGGTGCAGTCTGTGACTTTGCAGAATGAGATGAAAGCTCTGGTCAAGCCGGACAGAGAACAGGGAAGAGAAAATCAAGTAAGTATAACATCCCGAAAAGTTTGAATGTTGGTCCAAGAAACGGAGCTCAAAAATGAACCACATCTTAAGAAGTGAGATTCAATTAGGAAATAGCTTGATTTTTATAAGGTGTAGCTATCAGCTGGACACCACGTAACTACAACTAAACAGTTGGTGAGCTTCCTCACAATGTATACTTCAAGGATCGGAACTTCTCAACTAAATAACATGGGGAAAAGGAATTAATTGTATAGCGATCAAGCCGATACACTAGCCTGAGCAGCAACAATGATATAGCCGAACAACAAATCGATATAAACACCTGGAAGAGGCACAAAGGCGAGAGGGCCAACCAATCGCCTCAGATACTGCGATGGAGAAGCAATCAGAAACAAGGGCGTGCTCGCGTACGAACTGATGAGCTTGCTTTCTTATCGAGAAGTAGACAGAGCTTAAAAGGAACAAGAATATCTCAAGCAAATAACAATGGAACACAACGATCACACTGGCCGCGTTCATGCCGACATGGCTGCCGAAGCAGTAAAAACATAATAATCAGACTGAACACGAATCACCGGCAACAGACATAGTGACGATTGCCAACCAAGCACTCCAGAAGGGAAGTCTCGGACTTGGTTGAAAGCAATCAACAAGCGTGTGCTCGGGCTCAACTAAACAGCGCTGGAAAGCATGCTTTCTTTCGTCGAGAAGAGACAATGCTCCAGGAATAAGAAGCTCTAACTAAATCTAACTAACTGACAACGGACACGAACAATGGGATGAGGGGCGACCAAGGCCAATGAAGCTGACGAAGCAATAAAACAGACGATGATAGGGGCGAATAGAGAGTCGAGAATCACCTGGAAGACGAGGGTTATTTGAGAGGATTGCCAATGAATAACCTCCGAGGGGGGTTTCAGACTGTGATGAGATCAATCAACACAGAGCCTACTCCAGCCTACCTACTGGGATTTCGAGGATGGGATGGGAAGAAGAAGAAGAGTACACTACAGCGAGGAGGATAGCTCAGAAGAAAAGAAAGGATGTGGAAGAATTTCGTGGGTGAAAGGGAGAAGAGTCGAGTTGGACGTCCCAGATATTTATCTAGTGAAGAGAGTGAAGTGAGGGTTGTGAGTCTACTACAGAACCACCCCCCCCCCCTTTTTATATTGACCAATTGGCATCGGCCGGTCCCATGGAGGAGACCACATCACGATGTGTCTTGTTGTTGGTGTGTGTGTCTACAGTTGAGGATCTAGCTCAGGCTACAACCCTTATTTCAGTCGTGCTCATCAGGGTGGTGGGCCTCGCTAATAGGCTATCCAATAGGATAGGGCTGCTCACACTCGGGCCCGACCAAAGGAAGGCGGATCTTTGTCCTTTTTTGAGCCTGGATAAAACCTCCAGATTTAACGGGGCTCTCTGGCTTGCATTTCCACCATTGTAAGATCAAAAGGGAAAAACCCGGCCCGAAACGGACAGCCAGTATTGTATTGTGTTGTTCCCGGACCCAATTATGAATAACAATGTAAATCAGTTTAGGAGAGCTACAGAGTTTGCTTAGGCTTGCATTATGTATAAAGAGAGAAACTTGTTGGGTGAGGTGAACTTCTGCAAAGTCGCCGTAGTGGAAATCTACCAAGTGCACAATTTAAGTGTCCTATCATCAGCTGACGAATGGGGGGCTGATGATGCACTTCGAGCTTGGCAACAATCGTAATTCGCCGTCCACCACATGCCCTGCAGACCTCCTTATGTAGACTCTATAAGAGAGTCGTAAATATGTTTGCGCTCACAGGGTCTGCTGGCATGCCCCTTCATTCAACCCTCCCCCGTCCGCCGCAAGCGAGCGATTATTGGACAACTGCGATCAGTTAAGGCCTTATGGTGTTCGAATCTCATCAGGTAGCAGTACGTTTGAGTAGCTTTCAAGTTGGAGCCCTTCTGAGCCTTCGAAGAGATTATCTTGGACTTTTCCTTAGAACTCTATGTTACAAGTAAATATGGAAGCCTTGCGCGCTAAGCAGGTATCCATACTTCTTTCGACATGGAAAAAAAAGAAAGAAGTGTTCAAGTATGTATGAGAAACATGGAAGTAAGTTTTAATGAAGACGTGCGTGTATTATTATAGCACAACAAGACTATGTACCAATCTTTCTCTTGCTAAACAACCTATCCTACCTAGCTATTCTTATAGCTTGAATTTTCTCTTTTGAATTACTTCCCGCAATTTGTGTCTCCCCCAACGGTATTCCCGACCGCACCTCAGGAGACAAATACCTTCCTCAAAAAAAACCCCCCCTGAAAGAATAAATGAAGTGAAATAAAGATGCAATTGCGTCGTACAACAATAACAAGGACGGATATAAAGAAAAGAAAGACGGTTTCTGTATTAGTATGTAAGACTGACAGACACATATGTCTCTGGAACAAATCATGCCAGTTCAAACAAACACACCAATAAAGAGGGGGAAGGGGAAAGAAAACGAGGTCTTGGTTGATGACTTGAACGGAAAGTACATGTTTTATAGTATAAATAAATAGTATATACATCAGAAAAGCAGGAAGAAAATAGCTCATAGGAAGAGCAAGGGAGAGAAAGATCAGAGTGCTTGCTATTGGCCCAGAAGAAGGAACTCGAGATTCAGGGCGGACACAAGGTTACCGGCACGAATCTAGAGAAATCCAGATCATAGAAACTGCCTTTCACCAAGGGGAAATCTGTCCTTGAATGTGAATGAGTGTTGGACGATAAACGAGCGACATGCCAATGCGATTTCCGCGGCGGATTAGGATTGATTGGGCTTGTTTGGCTTGGTACGAGGGATGACATCTGGGAACTAGAGAGACAGAAACCGAAGGACGCTCAGCCATCCATTCCCACGACCCCCTCTCAGAAAAGGTAAGAAAAGGGAGAAACACAGTGACGAACACGTTGTTGGATAACTTTTTGCATTTCGGGCCAGATTTGATCGCTACTATCGCCGAAGAGATGGACGAGTTTCTTGCGTTTACGGAGCTCATGGTGGCCGGAGACGACGAATTGGGGGTCGTAGTAATCCAGCAGGGGTTGGTTCTGCAGATGGAAGGACTTCAGCCGTTGGGCAAACACCTCGACCGTGTCGTCCTTCCGCTTCGTCAACGCGTCCCCTGTATAGTCGTCCTTCCCTTCGATCAATGGTGGGTTGTATGTTGTCTAAGTTTGTTTCCGTCCGACGAAAAGAAATCTAAGTCCTTCGTTCTTCTCTTCCAGTTGTCTATTGTGACGATTGGTATGACACTCACATTGTAGACCCTTCCAGTGGGCCCATGAATCCACCGGCCTGTAACGAATGGAAAGCCCAATCAATATAGAATGGATTTGGGGAAACTTTTCGGATAGAGTACAGAAAGGAGCAAATACTGAGCGGAGAAACTGACCAGTGATGCGCTTGATAATGATCTCATCAGGGACTTCCAAGGACACGACTAAGTTCAATTGGTCGGCGAGCTCTTCGGCTAGGAATTCGTCGAGCTTCATGGCCTGGGATCGGGTTCGCGGCAGCCCATCAAGGATCCAATTCTGCAAAATTCAAGCACGCAGAGTCGATCAACCTTCAACCATAAGAGACAAATCGAACAGCAGGATTGGAACAACGGATTACATGTCTCTAGGATCGGCGTCGACTCACGTACTCTGTGTTTCAATTTCTTGATCTCCGGCTTCACTAGCTCGAGCATAATGTCATCAGGCAGTAGAGCTATTATACATTTCACAAACAAACCACATTTACAGGTATGAGAAATCATATAAAAAAGCTTGCTCGGGTGTATTTATGTACTGACCACCTTTACAGATGTATTCTTCAGCTACCTTGCCCACCTCGGTCTGGTTGTCAACGTTCCATCTCAGCAGGTCCCCGGTCCCAATCATCTGGATATCATACGTTTCCATCAGCTTTGTACAATGTGTTCCTTTCCCCGACCCCTACAATGAGAACAAACCCTCCCAAAAAAAAAAATGAGGATGAGTGTTAGTCTTTTTTTTTGAAATAAAAAAAAACTTTGATGAGATGTTTGAAAACGATAGACTAACCGGAGCACCCAACAGAATCATCCTAATTTTCGAGGCAGGGTCGGAGTCAGAAGGCAAGGGTGGTTGGACGAATCGGGACTGGTTGTAATCGACGGACTCGTAATAGAACTGGCGCTTGAAGAGGTGGCGATGGATGTTCCTGGATTCGGAGAAGGAGAGTCTTGGGTTAAAGTGGATCCAGGATCGATGGGTGATCGGCAGTCTGTTGATGTTCATTCTCCCTGTTTTGTATGTAAATATGTGCTGGCTGAGTTTCTCTGGGTAATATGGGGATGGATGATGGTAATCAGCTTCAACTGGGAAGGATGAAGTCAAACTTTCTTTGCGTCCAAGCTCATCCCCCGAGTTGGACTCCGAACTCAACCAAGCCCCGCACTCGAACTCCGCCTGGCTGACAAATCTCCCGATGGAGCCTGGCTCAACTCAAGGAGTCAAGCCCCATAGACTCCAGCCAATTTGTAGCGGCGTTGAAAGCAACTCGCGAGCAGTTTGGAAAGCAAAGCTGGATTGGTCAATTCCGAGAAAGCAGGTCTGGTGATCCGTAAAGTGATCAAGAGGGAAAGAAAACTTTGAGGGGTTAGAAACACAAATGAAGTTGGAAATATGTTGTTTTCTATCTTCTTCTTCTTGTTTTCGGAAGCTAGGTCATGCTGATTTTTTTGGGTTATGAAAATGGCTTTGAGTGAGGTTGAGCTCAAGAAAACTTCATCCAAGGTGGCACAGGGTACGTATTTGATGAGCAATAGTGATCCTCTCTATTAATAGACGAGCAACCGCTAGACACCTTAGGAACAACGGGATGTTGTGAGTACACGCGAATGAATAAGTCTTATGAAAGACGAAGTGAGCACACCTTAGGAACAACGGGATGTTGTGAGTACACGCGAATGAATAAGTCTTATGAAAGACGAAGTGAGCACACCTGCGGACAATGAGATGAGACGAATGCAAATGAGTTGAGTTGAATTGAAATGAGAAACATAAACAAAAGAGAATGGAAGATGAAGCGAACCTTAGGAACAACGGGATGTTGTGAGTACACGCGAATGAATAAGTCTTATGAAAGACGAAGTGAGCACACCTGAAATATTGATGAAGAAAGAAAGGATGAGTCAATGATGAAAAGTGAAATGAAAGAAATGAAACAATGAAGAAATACTGCCAAGGCATACCTGCGGACAATGAGATGAGACGAATGCGAATGAGTTGAGTTGAATTGAAATGAGAAACATAAACAAAAGAGAATGAAGATTACAACTAGTAGAGAAGACGAGGTTGTAATGAATTCTGCAATTAGGTTTAGGTTTGAGATTTCAACTTTAACTATCATTGAATCCGCAGCACTCTGCCCATAGGCTGTCCGGAGTTGGCTGTAGTTCAATACCCCCCCTGTTTCAATTCCCTTGAATTTTCAGGTTCTTGACTATTTCCTGATGTTTGAGTCTTCCAAGTGCCTTTGTGCACATGTCCGCTTTCATTTGCTGTGTAGGAATGTACTTGACATTGATCAAACCGCTGTCGTAGATTTCCCTAAGCCAGTGATAAATGATGTCGATGTGTTTTGTGCGTTGTTGGAATAGAGGGTTGATTGCTAGTGTGATGGCGCTTTGGTTGTCAACGTAAATATTGAATTTTGAGGAGATGTTGATTTTGAGACTTTGGAAAAGATATTTGAGCCAGACGGATTCCTGAGTACCCTCGAAGAGAGCTCGATATTCCGCCTCGGTGGTTGATGTCGAGACTGTTTGTTGCTTCTTTGAGCGCCAAGAAATGATATTGCCTCCTAGGAGAGCAACATAGCCTGAATAGGAGCGGCGGTCGTCTGTACAGTTTGCAAAATCAGCGTCTGTATAGATTGATACATCATTGAGATCACAGTCGCCGTTGAGGGTGATGCTGTAGTTCTTCGTGCCAGCGATGTACCGGAGCAGATGGATTACCGCTTTCCAGTGTGTCATCCCCGGCTTTTCAAGGTGCTGTGAGAGTTGCGAGACTGTGAACAAAATGTCTGGTCTTGTAGATACTGAGAGATAGTTTAGGAGTCCCAGAGCTTCTCGATAGTTGATTTTTAACTGGAGAAATGATTTATGGTCGTCGTCGGTAGCTTTTGTGAGGCGTGTTCCGGCGACCATGGGTGTGTTGGTTGTTTGGCAGTCGGTCATGTCAAACGTTTCAAGGATAGATTGACTGTAATTCTCCTGTGTGAGGGTCAGAGCGGTTGCGTTCACTCGTGTGAGTTTTATCCCAAGGATGTATGAGGCTTCGCCCAGATCCTCCATTCGAAATCTAGCCGAGATAAGACGTTTGAAGCAATCTACATCATGACTGATGATGATCATGTCGTCGACATAGACGTGAACTAAGCATTCCCAGCCGTTTACGGATGAGGTAAAGAGGCATGGGTCTGCCGGAGATGGTGCAAAGTGAATGGAGCTGAAGAATTCCTTGAGGGCTGCGTACCAGACTCTTGGTGCCTGCTTTAGCCCGTAGATTGCTTTGTTCAATCGAAGGCAATGACCTTTAGGAATGTTGAGTCCTGGAGGAGCTCGGAGGTACACCGTTTCTTGAAGATCGCCGTTTAGAAAGGCGTTCTTTGCGTCCATTTGGTGGATTTTGTAACCTTTTGACAGGCCTACGACAAGTGCCGCCCGACCGGTGGGAGCGTACGTGTGAGTGAAGTTGACTCCCTCCTCCTGACGTGAGCCCTGAGCGCATAACCGAGCCTTGAATTTGACGATCACGCCGTTTGAGTCCTTCTTTTTGCAAAACACCCAGACCGTGCCGAGGAGAGATTCGTCCTCTGGAGTGACTGTGACTTCCCAGACCTGAAGATCCTCCATCGCCTTGAGTTCTGCCTCCACCGCCCTGGTCCAGCACTTGGCTTCTGATGAGAGCATCGCCTCCCGGTATGTTCTTGGTATCTCTGATGCCATTAGTGCCTGAGCGAAATGGGCTCTCCGTTTGGTGTGAAGGATGTGTGACTCGTCGATATCGGAGCTGATGTCTTTGGGAGCTTTCTCGCTCGTGAGCACGATGTCCCAGCCAGGTTTGGGTCTTGGTGTGACAGGTTGAAGATTGCTGGTGAGGTTATCGTCGTGATGGGTAGATTCAACTTTGGGTTCTCCCTCGGATGCCGTGATGAAGTCAGGATTGTTGGTGTCGTCCAGACTGAACTCGTCGTCTCCAAGATGGTATTCAAGAGCTTGGGTTTCTGAAGTTGTAATCAGCGGTTCTGCCGATACTTCTTCTTGCTCGATTTCAAGGAACTCGATGGGAGTGAGTGGGTCGTATTGGTGGGATGGGTCAGCTGGAGAGAATATAGAGACTCCTGGGAACTCTGTCTCGACAAATGTAATGTCGTGACAGCGCTCTATTTTCCCCCCGGAAGAAGGAAGCGCCAGTTATGCGCCCCCAGCTGGTATCCTACGAGAAGACCTTTCTTCGATGTGTCGCCAAATTTGCCGTCACAAAGCTTTCCCGTGATGTTAGCATAGCATAGGCAGCCGAATGGTTTGAGGCGTTTTGCGTTGAAGTTGCTGCCAAACCATCTGTTGTACGGGTTGTCCCACTTGAGCTTCTTCATTGGGGTAATGTTTTCAAGAAACACCGCTGTGAAAACTGCTTCTCCCCAGTATTCAGCAGGTAGCTTCGCTTGCTTGAGTAAGCAGCGAGCCTTTTCCGATGTGCTTCGGTTGCCTCGTTCTGCGACTGAGTTTTGTTGAGGTGTGTAAGGTGCGGTTACTTGCACCGTGATTCCTTTGCTCTTTAAAAAGTCAAGGAATTCGTTTGAATTGAATTCACCGCCTCCGTCAAAGATTACGGTTTTGATGTTGGATGAGTGGTGGTTGGTAACTTCGTTGTAGTATTGCAAGAAGAAAGAGAAAGTTTCGGACTTTTTAGATAGCAAGTAGACATGACGATGGCGGGTGTAGTAGTCTGTGATTTTAAGGTAGTACTCTTTTTTCCCGAAAGAGGGGGGATTTATTCTACCGCTGAGGTCCATGAAGACGTACTCAAGCGGGCGAGTGGCTTGAGGAAGTGATGAGGGAAAAGATAATCGGTGTGATTTGGAGAGGGCGCATGCCTCGCAATGGAGGTCAATCCTAGAGGGTATGTTGGGGAAGATCTTCCTTAGTGCCTCGACGTTGGGGTGGCCTGCTGATCTGTGGAATCGCTCGATGTCAACGACTGATGCCAGAAGTGCTGATGCTGAACTAGACTGACCTGGATCGACGATCACGACATTAGCTCCCCAAGTGCTACCGTCGACTTTGCTGGACAGGATTGTCGCTCCGTTCTTGATGATGTTAAACGTGCTTTTTCCTGTTCGTTCCACGTCGCATTCTCGTTCGTAAAGACGACCGAGACTGATGAGGGTGCCCGCCAGCTTTGGAACGTGAAGTGCCTTGAGTTTGATGTTGGAACCGTTGTTGGCTCTGATGTATACAAAACCTTCGCCGACGGAGTCGAGATGATTGCCATCCGCCAGCTTTATGAAGGTTTTCTTTGAACGATAATCGTGAAAGGTTGATCGGTCGTTGAACATGTGGTGACTTGCTCCTGAGTCGAGAAAGCAAGCCTCGCCTTCGCCATCTTGATTAGCAGCCAGGGCTTTCCGTATAGCCATCATCCCGCTCGCGGTAGAAAGTGAGCGAGTGCTTGCTGCGTCTGATGAGGTTTCGACCGCAGCTTTGGCTGTAGGTGCTGGTTTCTTGCCTTTCCTTTTGGCTTGGCGACAGTCCTCCTCGGAGTGCTTGGTTTCGGGGTTGTGCCAGCCCGGTTTGCAGACTGGCCAGGAGGCTCCGGCTTTGTAAGCCGTTTCTTGCTTGATGGTGGTGGTAGCCGACGAAGGCGCCTGATGTCGTTTGTTGTCGAGAGCGGCCTTGACGATGGGTATTGTGAGCGGGGTTTTCGATTGATGGAGAACATCGATGAGTGGCGATAACTTGGGTGGTAGCTTCTGGAGGATGGTTTCAACCGCTAAGGCCTCTTTGAGATTGGCTTCTTTCGGATCACCGATGCGAAGGCCCACTGCGGCCATTTGATTGAGTTTGGCGTCGAGATCATCGAGGAAGGTTGCGACATTGTCGCGGTATTTGAATGAGATGAATTCCCTGTAGACGGCCATCTGATTTTGAGCCGAGGTAGACTCGTAGTAGTCGGTCAGCGCTTTCCAGATTTCATCCGGATTTTGGATGTTGTCGTCAGTGACAAATCGTTGGTAGTTGATTTGCCCCATTGCTTGATGGAGGATACCAGCAAGCTTCTCCCGTTTGTCGTTGTAAACGAGGAGAAGGGCTTCTTTGGTAGGTTTTGCGATGGTGGAGAGGTATTTGAAGTAACCGTGTTGCATGCAGTATCCTTTGATCTTGATTTTCCAACCAGTGAAGTTGTTATCAGTCAATACTGGAATCGATTTGCTTTCCGACATTTTCGCGTGAGTGTTTTAAGTCTGAAGGTATTTAACGGGAGCGCGGGCTCATAACCTAATAGACGAGCAACCGCTAGACACCTTAGGAACAACGGGATGTTGTGAGTACACGCGAATGAATAAGTCTTATGAAAGACGAAGTGAGCACACCTTAGGAACAACGGGATGTTGTGAGTACACGCGAATGAATAAGTCTTATGAAAGACGAAGTGAGCACACCTGCGGACAATGAGATGAGACGAATGCAAATGAGTTGAGTTGAATTGAAATGAGAAACATAAACAAAAGAGAATGGAAGATGAAGCGAACCTTAGGAACAACGGGATGTTGTGAGTACACGCGAATGAATAAGTCTTATGAAAGACGAAGTGAGCACACCTGAAATATTGATGAAGAAAGAAAGGATGAGTCAATGATGAAAAGTGAAATGAAAGAAATGAAACAATGAAGAAATACTGCCAAGGCATACCTGCGGACAATGAGATGAGACGAATGTGAATGAGTTGAGTTGAATTGAAATGAGAAACATAAACAAAAGAGAATGAAGATTACAACTAGTAGAGAAGACGAGGTTGTAATGAATTCTGCAATTAGGTTTAGGTTTGAGATTTCAACTTTAACTATCATTGAATCCGCAGCACTCTGCCCATAGGCTGTCCGGAGTTGGCTGTAGTTCAATATCTATACTACCTTGATAGGAGAATTTACTCAATTACCCTGGCAGTTGTGATCCTATATGTCTAGACATCAATTTGGGCTTTGTTTTGTATTATGTTTCCTCATGTTTTGTATGATACAGTATGTTCTTATGATTTCCATCTGACCACCACAGAAGAAAGTTCTTTGGTAACAATGAGTTCCCTGAGACTCAAGGATGCTAAAATTGTTTTGGAGAAGTTCCCTATAACTACAGCATGCCAGATATCATATGCCTACCATGGCTGATCAAGAACTATGTTGGGTGTTCCCCTTGTTGTATAGAATACTGAGTCTGCAACCATTTCAAGAAGACAGTCAATAATTCTCAACCAAGCCTTCATCATCATGATAAAAGGAAAACATGCCTTGCATTCAATGTATTGGAATCCAGTGACTTGTATTTTGATTATCATAGTTCTGTGAATAAGCAGTGGGAATTGGTGATCAATATATTTCAGTTGGATGAAATATTTCCATAAATAAAAGAAAGCCAAATGTAAGAGATAAAAGTTTCAATACCAAATACAAACCAATCAGTAAGCTTATATGAAATCATAATGGATGGTGATGTGAATGAAAGAAAAAAAACCAAGATGGTACAAAGAATTTGATGCAACTTTTTGATGAATTGAACTGCTACAGCACATGAGTTTGAAGATGCTACCAATGACCCTGCTCCAACGTCCTGAGCACAATTTCAACAAGAGAATGCTTTGACTGGGTATTTGATTTGATCATCTAAGGAAAAGAGTTATAGACGATTTGTGGTCACAATGTTGAATTGGGTTGTCATGTGCATTGTAGTTTATCAGTTGCTCAATGATCAACCAGAGAAGTTTTGTTCATTGGTGGGGTTTTCTTAGGCTTCTTGTATCTATTCAAACATGAGGTCTTTCTGTGGTGCTTGAACTTTGTCAACTTCCAAACTTGGCAAGTAATGCTTGGCTGGATAGCTTGACTTTCTCGATGATGGATAAGTGAGCTCTCCAAGGTATTTTCATAGCTAGTTTGGAAATTGTATGAGCAAGCCCGGGCTTATATTGGAAGAGGGGGGGAGACTCATGGAGGTGCGGCAAGAGCAGGAAAAGGGTGTTATTTGCCTCTCATGCGGACACATACGCTCAGGACATCTGAAAAATTGCGCGGGCAACTCTTGACTGACTTTTTCTTTGTTTGCTCCAATCACATTTCAATTAAGATGAGTCAACCAGTTGTATTCTATTTACAAAAAATGAGCACACATAAAAGCAACGATGCGTTGAGGCATTGAAGAATTAGCATTCCAGAGCGGGAGAAATGTCAAAGCCAGATGTGCTAGAGGGCTGTAAAAGGCCGACTGGTGATTCATTTAGATCCTTCCTTGGGAGGATCATAGATCTCGTTCACGCGAGTGATGTCGGGGCGTCGGATAGGTTTGCTAATTCGGGGTCCAGACCAAGTAGAAGAGCTGCCGGGAATATATTCCCTGGAAGACTTTTTCTTCTTAGAGTCGGAAGTGGATTTCGGGGCTGGGGAAGTGACATCATCCCTGGCCGAGGATTTGAGCTGCTCGATCCGACTACGCGGCCTGGGGGGTTGTTCCTCAGTGGGAGTCTTGGACCTTCTGCCCGAGCGACGCGCTTGCTGGCGACGGCTTCCCTTCCCAGCATCAGTTAAGGGTTGATAGAGTTCTTTGAGATCGATTTTGGTCGGGTTCCTAGTACCTCTCTTGGGCCCCCTTGACAGTGTGTTACTACTGTGCCAGTGTTTCTCCATCACCTCAGGCCGGCCACGGTGGGTGAGTTTGTACAGTGGGACGTACCCGCTGGGGAGATTAGTTGGTGGACAGTTGGGATCTTCCAAGTCAGACGGCCTCTCAATCGATGTTCCCCATAGCTCCTCGGAATCGGAGTCGGAGTCGTCCTTCTTTAAGTTTTTGATTTGCTTGCCGATCCATTTGACCGTCTTCACGGATCCACCGCTGACTGTCCGGCCAAGGGCAGGAATGGAGCCAGTGGAGCCTCTTCGCTTGGGAGGAGATGATGTTGGAGAGGTGTCCATCGTGTTATTGAAAGTGGGCCTAGAAGTCGGTGTTTATTGTTGCTTTCCTTGCGAGCAGTTTGGGATGTAGTTTCGGTACGCTGGGTTGAGTAAGCAAGGGAAGGCAAGTGGGGTGTAATGAATGTAGGTGAGGAGTTGGCCCCCAAGAGCCAGTTAAGTAGTGATTGAAAACAAAGGGCCCACAGAGAAGTATCATGCTTTCAAGACTGCTGTAATGGCTCTTCCCGAGCATTTCAGCAGTGGTATGTATAATGTGGTGCTGAGGTTGAGTGGATTAGCATTCTCGGAAGTTGCTTTTCTTTTCGAATTTCTGAAGACCCTTAAATGCATCCATGTAGGCTGCTTTTCTGCCAATAGTCATAAGCACTACAAATCAACGCGTCTTGTTGCTTTTGCGCACTCCACATGTTGTTTTCTGTGAATTTGTGCATTTCACTCCATCATCATGTATCATTTTAGATAGTTTGAGCTTATTGCACACTGCCACTGTGTCGTTGAGCAAATGTGCAGAATTGAGATGTTTCTAGCCTTAATTTGTGATGTGGGAAAAGGTGAAGGACCGGGACGGACATGTACCCGTCCTCCGTTCCGGTGTACCAGTCAAGGGACATCATCGGGACTCGATCTCGGCTTTCCCCTCCCAACCGTTTGATCATGTAGTCGACGGGTGCACCGGCCGACATGGGACATAAATACATAGTGAGAAGGGCATTGTTCCCCCTCTTGACCTCACATGTTGTATCGGTGGGAGTAGTAGTCGATTCACCTTCTCATCTACACAGGCGAACAGGTTCGACAGCAAATTTCCATGAAATTCGCTGACAATTTGTCCAATTTCACCCCAGCAGAAGTGCAGGGTCAAACAGCGGTCGAACCAGCAACCCCCTTGGCCGCCTGAGGAATTACCGACAATTTCCACTAGCTTAACATAATCCCCTCGACCAGAGGGCCGGGGGCACCTCGCGAAGCAAGCCTCTGAAAGAGGGGCTTATGAGTCAGGTCAAAATCTTGGCCTGGAAGCTGGTACTTTTTGTGGCTTTTCCGGGATCTTTTACACACAAAAGCCCGTTACTCCCAGCCCATCCAACTAAATGATCAGCAGTAAAGTTTGTCACATAAGTGAGCATATCACCTTGGTGTCCATATTTTTTTTTTGAAATATTTTTGATGAACACCTATCCATCCTTTGGATAGAAAGTGGGGGACTTGATTCCAGCTGAAAACCACCTTATTGCATATATGGTGGTACAACACATAGTATGAGTTAGCCTGTGAGCCTCTGGTTCATTCTGTACAGGAATCATGGGTGCCTCATCCTGCCACACCGGTAATGCTCAGTGATAGACACAGGTAGTATGTCTCGTGTACAGAGTTTCTATATCCATAGAACAATACACACATAGTATGCCAGAAGACCGAAGAGGTTTGATGAAGGAACTTGAGGTCCCTCATCAACCTCATGGAAAAATGACCTTTTTGAAAGGCAGGTGGGGGCCGATGTAAAGGGCCCCTGGCCTTGTTGGTGAGACAAAAAGTTAGATACAATTCAGGCCTTTTGCCTGGTCCAAACGGCTGAAAATATTTCCTAGGGGAAGAGGGGGTGATTGCCTGGGCAATTTTTTTCCCTACTAACAGCCCCCAGCTTCCAAGCCCAAATGTGGGCTTTAGTCGCAAGTCCCTCCTTCGGAGGCTCGCTTCGCAAGGGGCGCTTTGCGCCAGCCTGGCACCAGGCCCTCCGATCGAGGGACTTGTTGTTAAGTTAGCAATTTCCAGGCAAATTTGCGCAACAAGCCCGGCAAAATTGCGGCAAATTCGCCTGGGCGGTGAATTTAACCAGGTGCGTTCACGACAGCCACGCGAGTTGACGGTTCATCGGATTCCACCGGATTCCCACCCGCATTTCAACAATGCGGACAGCAGGCCTTCTATCCGAGAGGCTTCCTTCATGGACATGGTTTAGTCCACTTCCAACCAACTGCGGATTACGCCTGCGAGTCCAATGGGGAACACAATAAACAAAGCTTGATTTTATGTACGGTTTGTGATCCGATCCGGTGCCTGTGCGGCTCCGAGGCAATCATGGGTATGATAAGCTTACTTGCAGCATTTCGGCTTGCTCAAAGCGATGTGAATTAACTCTGCGGGTTGCAAAAAAATGGTGCTCTTTTTACGACGTAGAATGGGCATTGCAAGATACAACATATTTTTTATTTGGGGGGGGCGATCTCTGGTGGTCTTATAAGGAAAGTGAAATACAGTTCTCGCGGCTTGAGAAACAGGACAGAATATCATAATTTTGGATGTCAATTGAAAGCGTTTTCTAGTGGAACACTGCCCCCACCAGCAGACATCAGGGCTATCTGCTCTTGGACATCATCCTCAGTTGGGACTCTGATATCATTGTGAGGAATTTCCTCAAACTTCCGCTTTTGACCGAATAGCTCCCAGTCAATGGCTTTGACCACCCGGCCATAGCTGACAAAGGAAAAGGCTTGTGAGAAATGTCAGCATGATGATGAATGAATTTAGATTCAGTGAATTTGACTTACGCAATGCGATAAAGTTTGCTTTGACCTCTGACATATTCAAGCTGCTGATCAACTAACTCCCAGTGGCTGGTATTGTCGGCTGGGTCACGATGAATGAGATGGTCCACGATGTAGAGGCGTAAAAAAGCCAACCGAGTCCTTGTAGTTGAGGGGTAACTTCGTAGAATGACTTCAACGGCTCGCAATTGTTTGCGCGCAGCCATGTATCGATCGATCTGTTTGAAAAAAAAAAAAAACTAGTAGTGTGAGAGTCTGCCTCAGCAACATGACATAGAGATAGATACTCACACACACAACCAAGTCATCCAAGCAGGGAACAGCCCCGGAAATTAGCCTGTCCTTTTGTGCTCTGATGTTGGTGAGCAGCTATGATATTGTGGGGGATTGAATTAGGTTAGTTATATGTACGAGAGGGATGAAACACGCTGTAAGCTTACGAGATTGCGCAGGAGGCCCTTCTCACTCTTCAACAGCCTTTTCATCAGCTCAACAACCTTGCAGCTTGCGCCGATATCTGTAGGGTATCCGGGTGGCAAGTAATCCCTGTGAAACAACGGGTCTTGGGATTGAACATGTGCCTGATTCAATGAGGATTGAGCTCATCAGCACATGATCATCAGATGAAAGGAGAAAAAGCATAATTACCTTGAGGAGCAGCAGAGGTGTTCGCCTGATAGGAGCCGAGTCAACAATGGACATGGTTCGCGTGTAGGCATCCACATTTCCTTTGGCCAAAATGTGTCGAAGGTGATCTTGCATGAAGCGCTGGGCCAAATGGTTGGGTCAGAAGCTTGGAAAACAAAAAGGAAGGAACTGAGCTCTCAGCTCACCTTAACATGGTCGGTGAACGCAAACGGGACAGCGCTGGTAGGGGTGGGGGACGAGTTATTGGAACCCTGGGCGATGGATGTCTTTTCAAGTAAATGAACAAACATCACAACACTGATTTGCCACTTTTCCTGCTCGGTGGCCTGGTATATTTTTTGTTAGCAAATGGGTTTGGTCAGTTTGGAGGTCCAGTTCCATTTAGGCAAGGCATTCGACTCACTTCAAAGAGGCAATTGGCAAGGGTGAGGCCAGACTCCGATAAGTTGAATTGGCTTTGAATGTGCTTGACCAACTCACCTCCAAGTCTGGCTGTGCCAACTTGGTCTTGATCTAGATTAAGTTCCGGCGGCACAGCACCCCAAGTGAGAGCAGGGGGATCCGGCAATCGCTCATTATCTGATGAGCTCCTGTCTTCACTATGTTCATCAAAGCCGGTACCATCTCCAGCGCCAAGAAAAGTTTCAGGAGTTGGGGATAGGGTTGTCGGCGCCACTTTTGAAAAAGTGCGCGCCGACGGGCGCCGACGAGGCCCTCTAAAGGGCGCGCCTTTGGCTGGCGCAGGGGGGGCGCGCCAAGGCGCCGTTTATTTATGAGTTTTTCTTATCAGAGAGGCATGTAGGCTAGATTTCATGAAAAATTAAGTAAAACACATCAAATGAGTGTGTTGAACGTCAAAAAAAGACATGCTTGAGCTGAACGGAGTGTGTCGTTTCAAGAAGCCCAGAGGTTGCTGGGGTCCCAGTTGGTTTCGGCAGCTGGGTTTTCGGTGTCTTAAATTACAATCACATCGTTATCCGGTTGGGGTGGCGAAGGAGATCAAAATCAAAGATGTATTGAAAAATGGGAGGCCAAAAAACCCACATGTCCAGTATGTCGCACAATAACTGAACAAAGGCTTGAACTCAAACCTTACTGGAAAAGAATGGGGTTTTTCAGATGCTATAGAGATTAATAGTAAAAATTGAAGATATCAACAGGAAAATGTCAACCCATGATGACACATCTGGATTTTTTGCTGAAGATATAGTCAAGCATCTCACTTCCAAGAGTGTTCCAATATATTTTTTACTTCCACTCAAATTTGTCCAATCTATACATTCCTGGTATTTTCTTTGAAATTCCCTTGATATCTCAACCAAGTAATGAAGTTTAGGATTGTCATTTCAAAACACTAGGGCCCTGTTTGGCCGTCCGTAATTTATAATTTTGAGGAAATGTTTTCTGGGAGTGTCAGCCTTAGAGATACTCCATAGTATCAACGGTGCCACAGAGACGATACGATACGGTATCAGGTGTTTATCTGTATCGTCTCAGAATTGGAATACCCAAAAATACCGGATTTGTGTTGTCTCACTTTCCTGAGACATATACATGTATCGTATTTGAAAAGTGAGAAATGTATTCTGTATCGTCTCAGATGACTGATCCCACCAAAACTGTATTTGATACATAAGATATTTGGCCGTATTGAAGAAAAAACGAAAAAAAACGAAGACGATTTTTTTTTTTTTTTTTTTTTCATTTTTAAATCCAAATCCAATACAATGTATTTTTTCACCAACCAAGGAAATACTGATACCGGTATCAGGCTCAAAATAAATACGATACGATCCGATACAAATACATGTCTCGTATCTGTGGCACCGTTGATAGTATCCAAAAGACTGTTAAATGAATATTAAGTATTAAAATACTCAATATGTAATATAATATTTAATAACATTATTCAATAAAACAATATTTCATAAGATTATAAAGGGGGTTGTCCACTGGAAGTATCCCCAAATTCCCACTCCTTCAAGGACTTTGTATATATTCAAACTCTTGAAGGACAAAAGGAATGAAAATATATAAATTTATAGAATAAAATCAATGTATATTAAATTAGGGTTAAATATACATTTAGGGTAACCTTAGAAATTTTATTCTACAAGCATAATCAATTTATTAAAACTTGTAGAAAAGAAATTACCACACTATGTCAAGAGTGTGGCACTTTCTACTAGTAAAATTCTATTTAAGGAGACACATGATGTAATTGGCTATAAACATGCATCATGATGTCATGGGACATAGAATATACATTATATGAAATACCTTGAATTATTCCCATTACATCAGGGGAATAATTCTACCATGGTATACTAAAAGAGAGATTCTAGAATATTCTAAGGAGGGCCTCAAGGGGACCTCTAGAATATTCAAGGAGGCCTTCTCCTGCCTAGGATTGGTTCCTCAGCATATTCACCCCCAACAAACTAAGTGAGTACAGTGAATATTCTCCACCTACTTTTAGAGTAGTCTTTTTTATCCAATCCAACCCTACCTTCTTACTGGAATTATTATTAAGCTGAGAGTTATCCCAGACTCAAAACTTAACTAATTCCTTAAAAAGTAGTTGCTGCAAGACCACCACCTCTGACTGTAGCCTTTCAGCTCAGGTGCTTGCCAGCTACTTCTTGCAATATTAATTATTGCTTCCAAACACTCTACAATAAATTATTCTGTTATTGTCTCCTACAGTGCTCTCTTGATTATTCAAGTGTCTTTAACTGAGGAATGTGGACCTTTTAACCAAGTTTGGACCACTTAATACTTTGAGGGTGACTAGGAGTAATCTTGGTCTTTAACCTGAGTCCTTGACTCCTTCAGCACAGTGATAGTACTTGGCTCTTATATTATTAAGCCAAAGTTTCATACACATAGCTGACAGGGAGTTTGTGCAAAAATTTTATATTGTTTTATATTGCACGGTCCAAATCCGTGCCAAACTTTAGCCAAATTCTGCCAAATTACAAATCATGATTTGTGGCCAAAGGGGCCTAATTTTAGATAACTTCTTAGAGAAAAGTTACTCCTCACTAATCCTGGGATTAAGGGCCATTTGCATACAAAACGCGCATGCAACCCCTAGCTACTCCCAGGTTTACACCACACCACTGCGGTTGACAACCCGGAGTAGCCGTAATCCAGGATTAAGCTAAGCCACTAATCCTCAACTTTCACCCGCACCTATGCGGTTGCTCTTAGAGATTTCATTGTCCACTCAACCAACCAGATATTTTTTATCTTTTAGTTCATCCAACAAAATTTATATAATGTTGGATGGTGGTTTGTTTTCCAAATCTATCCTCATTCCTAAATCCCACCAACTATCTTATTTTTGAATAAAACAAAGAATTATCACTAGGAACTGAAAACATTTAGGTGCACACCAACACCCAAACCAACAAAAGAGGTACAAAAATGTGGCCAAACACACCAATTTTTTGGTGTGTTTGGCCACATGTCAAATTTTCTTGCAAGCTAGCCTGCATGCCAATCAAGAAGTGTAAATACATAAAAAATGAATTTTTGTCTGGTAATATTCAAACTCACAACCTCAGAAATTTGGAGACACATACTAGAGTTCTGCTCTCATCAACTAGTCTACACAGGCTTGTTACTGCCAGGGTAGATGGGTGGTAGTAGTCATGGTTTGAACTAACAGCTCACCAATTTTGGAATATATAATTCCTTGTCTTAGCCCTCAAAAGAGGAGAGTATAAGGTTAGTTTATCACATGCTTGATAAACTTCCTGAAAAAATAACAATCTTCATTGCACTGATCATTGGGGGTTGATAAGTGCAAGCCAACCCCCCTTGTGCACGCCAGCTGCAGATTGGTGTGCGCGCCTGCAGGGGGTATACCCTGCAGGTTGGCATGCCTACCTGCATGCCCAATATATGCGGTCCTCAACGCATATTTGTATGCGTTTAGGACCTGGGCTGTCTCATGGGACGGCCCCATTGGTTTTTTTTTTGTCAAACCCCTTTGGCCTAGAGAGGCCGAGGTCACACTGCCGGGAGGAACCCCTCCCGGCAAGTGTCTACATGCCAGCTCGTCAGGAGGGGTTCCTCCCAGCAAGCTGGTTTTCAAACCAGCTCGTCGGAAGGGGTTCCTTCCAACAAGCTGGTATGAAAACCAGCTCACCAGGAGGAACCCCTCCCAACAAACTGGTGTACAGTGGGTAGACAGTGAAAAGTGGCTGCTTATTATGGATTCCAGAGCTCCAGAGCACAAATTTGAAATCATGAGACTTGGTCAGGTGGTGCATAATAAGTCCCAAAAAATCAATATGAAATAACAAAAGCAAAAAATAAAGTTTCAAAATTTGTGAAAAATAAAAAACAAAATTGATTTTTTTCAAAAGCTTTGATATTCATTTTGGGGGAGTGGAAGTGCTGAGAGACAGAAAGATTGGGAAATGAGAAGAATGATTATAAATGAAAATTTTGGAAAAATTGGTTTTTAGATGGCTTCAAACAGCTCTTGAGTGGGCATTCACCAGCCCACATCTTAGTAAGGCACTAGAATTTACTGTTTAGGCTCCAATCTGGACAACCAACCTGGCTAAACATTTTTTGGTTCCAACTTTTTCATTTATAATCATTCTTCCCACACTTCATTCTTTCTTTGTCTCAGCACTCCCACTCCCTCAAAATGAATATTAAAGCTTTTGAAAAAAATCAAGTTTATTTTTTATTTTTCACAAATTTTCAAACTTTATTTTTTGCTTTTATTATTTCATATTCATTTTTTGGGAGCTATTATGCACCACCTGACCAAGTCTTATGACTTCAAGTTTGTGTTTCAGAGCCTCTGCAATCCAAAATAAGCAGCCGTTTTTCACTGTCTACCCACTGTACATGCCAGCTTGTTGGAAGGAATCCCTTCCAACGAGCTGGCACATAGAGATGCTGTTGGTTACTTGATTCAGTTCAAAGATTGCACTTCTCCTAAGACCGTCATCAAATATATGACTGACGGCGTCGGAATGCTGCTCAGGGAATTCACGACCAAACCCAATCTGGCTGGTTATAGTGCCATGATTATTGATGAAGCTCATGAGCGTACACTGAGTACAGATATCTTATTAGGCCTTGTCAAGGTAATAAAACCTATGAGGTGTCTTCAAGGTATGAGGGTACGGATTATACTCATGTTTTTGTTTCTTGATAGGACATTGCTCGTTTTAGACCCGACTTCCAGCTTCTGATCTGCAGTGTGACAATGAATGCCGTGAAGTTCTCAGAATATTTTTATGATGCTCCAATCTTCAATAGTATGTAGCCTTTCTTTAATCGCCACTGATGGGTGATGCTGAACAAGAATTCCGCCATAGTTCTGGGAAAAATGTATCCAGTAGATATCATGTACACTCCCAACCCAGAGGCAAACTACCTCTATGCAGCAGTGGCCATAATCTTCCAAATCCATACCACCAAACCAAAGGCTGACATCCTGGTATTTTTTACTGGCCAAGATGAGATCAGAGCCTCCCAAGAAAACTTAGAGGAAACCGCAAGAGCCTTAGGCAATAAAATTGGGGAATTGATGATATGTCCGATCTATGCCAATCTACCCACCAATATGCAGGCTAAGATCTTTGAGCCAACGCCTGATAGAGCTCAAAAATTTCTTCTGGCTACAAATATTTCCAAAACTTTGATCACTATCAATGGCGTGGTTTATGTCATTGACCCCGGTTTTGTGAAACAGAACTCTTATAACCCTTGTACCGGTATGGAATCTTTGGTTTTCTTCCTGTTTGTAGTGACTCTTTTCCGTTCTTGTTACATGCTTGATTGTTTTTTAGATGCTGAGAGATCAGCATGGCTCTGATTTGATCTTTTTGATTAGTGTTTGCCTGCGGCCGCCAATCAACGTGCCGGTCGAGCGGGGCGAGTGGCCCCAGGGAAATGTTTCAGACTATATACAAAGTCAGCTTACATGAAAGAGATAGACAAAGACACTGTTGTGGAGATCCAACAAACAAACCTGGCCAATGTGGTGTTACTGTTAAAATCATTAGGGATCAACAATCTGATTGGCTTTGATTTCTTGGACCCACCTCCTGGCATGTAGGCGCTTGTGCCTGGGTCCTATGGGATAGCCCAGGTCCTAAACGCATATAAATATGCGTTTAGGACCGCATATATTGGGCGTGCAGGTAGGCACGCCAACCTGAAGGGTATACCCCCTGCAGGCGAGTGGCGTGCCTGCCTGCACTGTTGGATTGATCAATCCTGTATGTAGTACTCGCATGCTTGTACTGAGTTATGCTTATACCAAGTCTCCCAGTAAAACTGAGCTGGGATCCCATCAAGTGAACAGTGTCTACCAGCAGTTGAGGAACAAATCAAGCGGATTGATGAGGTACAATCAGAACTCAAGTTATGTCTGGAAGCGGCTCAGGAATCAATGAAGGCCCAATTCAACAAAGGCGTGAAAGACACCCCAAATTGGAATGTTGGCGAGGAGGTTTGGCTCAACAGCAAGAATATCTCAACAACAAGACCCAGCCCCAAGTTGGACCACCAATGGCTAGGACCACTTCAAATTTCCAAAAAGATATCCAACTCTGTCTACAAACTGACACTGCCATTATCCATGCAGGGTGTTCACCCAGTGTTCCATGTTTCAGTACTGCAAAAACACAACTCAGACACCATCACTGGGAGATGCCATCCATCACCAGAACCGGTACAGGTCAACAACGAGGAGGAGTGGGAAGTGGAAGGCGTGCTGGACTGTTGAAAAAGAGGGAAGAAGGTCAAATACTTGGTCAGCTGGAAAGGATTTGGACCGGAGGAGAACTTGTGGGAACCGGTGGACAACTTAGAACACTGTCGAGAACTGGTTGCCAAATTCAACAGCAAATTTCCGGATGCGACATCAAGACACAAGAGGTCACGGAGAATGAAGTGAGAGGGAAAGCTTTTTCCCACTGGGTTTTTTAACGCTGCCCGGGGAAAGAATGCAGAGCCAAAAGAGGAGGAATTTTTTTTATTTTTTTGTCCATCATAAATTTTTCTATAACAGCAAAGGGGGCTGCTTGGGCATTAAGGGGGGGATAGTGTTATGAGCTGTGGAGGACTGGAACTGGGGACAATACATATGTAGAGAGCCTGTTACGTACATGTCACAAACTTTGAACTTGGAGTTTGTTTGAGATCCACACCTTGTGCATTCCTCATCTTGCAATCTACCATCATGAACCAGAACCTAGAAGATCCAGTCCTGCTCCCCTCAGAACAACCCTAACAGAGAACCAGTATTCAAATCCACTTATATTTGATAAAATTGGGATGATGAAATTGGCAATATTTATATGGATCCCTTCATAATCTATTTACAGATTTGGTTTGATGAGCACTCATAAAATCATGTTTGACTGTGAAATAAATATGAAGAAATAAAGAATATTGGAACAAGATATTTGACTTGATGTGTGTGAGATTTCTACATAATTGAAGACTAATGAATATAGATTGGTTAATTTTTAATTTTTCTCTTGGCACTTGATCAAATGCATGTCATTTATAATATCAGTTATGTACAAGAGATTCACATATTAATCAAATTCATTTTTCCACCACTAATTGAAGTTTCTCTATGGAGCTTGTATTTGGGGGGGCTCTTCAAATTTTTGATGGTTTCCATTTGCAGGGCACTCATTGAATGTGTGGGTAACTTTGCTTCCCTCACATTGAGAGAAAGTTTTTTTAGTTGAACAGTCCAAACATTGAACATGAGTCTTTGGAACCTTCATCTTGCAAATATCATTTGAAATACATCCCAGACAAAATGTTTTCATACCACACTCTTCCCCATGGTGGGTGGATACCGCAACATCAACACTTTGACACTCACTACATTTGAAAGTTTCACTATTTAACATTGCCAACTGGGGGTGGGCACCGCAAAAGAGTACTGCACAAATCAAGGCTCTTGCTGAGTACTTCATGGTGAGTCAATGTTGTGATCAAAGTAAAGGAAAACTGAAGATATCTTTGGGTATTGGTGGCTGAGAGAAAAGCAGATATCACTGATTAGATTTCTAAATGGGCACAAAACTTCAGTGTGGGTTGATTTTAAGGAGTAGATCAGCAGGGAGGACTAAAAGGGTGCTACCTCAATTAAAAAGAGGCTGAATTACAGAGAAGAATGGGATACAGATTTTGGTGCTGAATACCCTTTGTGAGATATAGGAAAATATCACAACTCTGGACAGAAACCCTGAGGCACTTTTCACAACTGATACAAAGATAAGAAGTATTCAAAATATTATGCAATGGATACATATGAAAAATCGTGGGGACTTGAACTTTTCACAAACAGCTGTCACACAATTTTTGTTTTTTACAGTCATGTGTCACTGACAGGACATGAATATCATGTTACAGAAAAATTAAGGCCCCGTTTGGCCACAAATCATGATTTGTGATTTGGCTAAGGTTTGGCGCAGATTTGGACCATGTGATATAAAACAATATAAACTTTTCACACAACTTCCTACCAAAACTTACCTCAAAATTACAAATTACAGATGGCCAAACGGGGCCTAAACTCATCCAGGATATCAACTGCAGGTGTTGCCTTCAAACAATTGAGCTGAAAAATGGATAAAGCTTCACTGAATTCAATTTTCAGGAACCTGGTACAATGCACCACATAATATATCTCAAATAAAAAAGGAGTGGCATAATTTTTGTCAAACCAATACAAGTAATACATCTTGAAATTTTATTTTTCAGGTGGCTTGGCAAAATTCACATGTACCTGTTCAATCTTGGCAAGCCAAAATTATACAGCCTGTGTAGATATGAAACTTGTTTTTTCTCATTTTCCTAATTTCTAACCTCAAATTCAAACACATTTCACTGAAAATTTAAGCCTTTTGCATCCATTAGGAGATGAATCACAGCTTCCCTGAGTTTCACCTTTCCATTTAACCATTTTTCAAAAAATTCCAAACCTTGGCTATCCAAAAGGATATGGAACAAGTGTGGAATTGATTGGTTTCACAATGTTTATACAGCTTCTAGGGTACTAGCTTCAAATTCAATCCCCCCCCCCCCCAAAATAAGACAGAAATCCAGGGGGTGAGTTTGGCATGGAGCATGGAAAAATGCCCATGTATGTGCATGCCCGATTTTTCCCAGTCCTCTCAAGTTCAGACTTCTGTGCCATTGGACCATTTTCCAGAACTCTAAACTAATCACCATCTGCAGCCCTTTTTATAGTTTTCTCAAATTGGTACATGATGTAACTCCACTGCAAATGCCACACCTTGTCTCCTTCTGCCTGTATAGGCCTGTATACCACTAAACTGATGGGATGCCTGATCCTGTCAATCCAAACAAATCACAGAAGTAGTGCAACACTCCTGATTTTATAAAATCAAGGTTTGGACCACTTTTAAGCTCAGACACGGGGTTCGCTTAGCTCACAAACCACAAACAATTATGCCTCACACTGAAAAGTCAACCTTTTCAAAAAAAAAATGCAAAATATTTGAGAACATAGCACAAAAAAGTAACCTGAGAGCAAGGTGCATGAGAAGCGGGCCTCCCCTGTCTGGGAAGGAAATCAAACAGATCCAGATTTAGAAGCCAATAGATCAGAAAGTACGCAAAAATGTTGGGTTTTATCCCCATTTCAAAACCTTGCCACACGGGGATCCCCCCCCAGGCTCGCTGGTGTGAAGCCCTGACTGGTGCTCCCGCTGGGAGGTGCACAGTGGAGATATGTACGGTATGACTATGATTGAGATCCGGGGGCGGAGCCCTACATACATAGCGAAGAGGGCCAATCAGTGATTGGCTGGGGATGAATATGCATAATCCGGAATTCTGGTCGGCCATTTCGCGCTGGGAACGGGATTAGTAGGACCAAGCGGCCCATCACGATCGACTACCACCCAACCAGACGACGATGAAGCAAATCGTATTGCAGGAAGCGCCCCAGAAGATGTGAGTAGAGCTTCAGCTATTCATGAGACTTACAATATCCCCCATACACGAGCTGACCATGCTTGGGTTGTCCTAGAAAACATATCCAATTCTCCGTTTTATCTTCTCAAGAGATCGTGGCATTATCCGAATATGAATCCACTCAACGTGATCTCTATAGCATGGTTGGATCGGAGAACAATGGAATCAGTATTCCAGGTGCAATCGAACCCCTCGTCAAGAAACCCGCCAAAGGTGGCGTCTTGGATAGCAGATTGGGAACGTCCGACAAATCCGGAATATGCGGAACTTGTAACGCGAAAATGGCAGACTGCGTCGGCCACTACTCCTACATCAAACTCATCCTCCCGGTATTCCATATCGGTTACTTTCGGGCGGTGATCCAGATGCTCCAAGATATTTGCAAGGTATGTAGAATACATCAGCTTCACTCAGTTTCTTTAGATTTATGGCGCGCCGATTGTTTTGGAATGATTCACAGACGTGTGCTAGGGTGCTCTTATCAGAAGAAGATCGGCGGCTGTATCTCATCAAGTTTCGACGTCCCAATCTTGAGAACCTACAGCGACAGCACCTAGCCAAGCAAGTCAACACTGCCTGCCGCAAGATTATCACTTGTCCTTATTGCGGTGCTACCAACGGTACCGTCAAGAAAGTCGGTGCTTTACGAATCATTCATGAGAAATTCAGAGCAAAGAAGAAAGCAGATGAACTAGCGGCGTTCAGAGATACCTTTATCACCGCCGTCAAAGAAACTAAAGAATTAGGACCACACCTTCACAAGGCTCAGGAAGATATGAACCCACTCCGAGTACTGAATCTCTTTCGAAGGATAACCCCTTCAGTCAGTATTCGATTTCAACCATCCTGAATCTTGCCTCTCCAGCGCTCATTTTGAAACTTCTGTTACCTCAGGATTGTGAATTGCTTGGTTTGGACCCTGAAGTTGGACGGCCTGAAGAATACATTTGGCAGTACATTCATGTCCCACCGGTCTGTATCAGGCCCAGTGTTGCACAAGAGGCCGCCACGTATGTCTCCATCTCTCTAAAATTCTGTCAGCCCTGCGTCAATATACGATAAATAACTCTTTTGAAACCAATCTCTGCTTAGAAACGAAGATGATCTGACAGTCAAACTAACAGAAATTATCTTTACCAATACCCTGATCAAAACCGGACTAGTCAAGGGGGTTCCAACACAAAACATTATGGTGAGATTATGCCCTCTGAGCATCCCAGTCTTTCTGACATTCTGATCCAATTTTTCTATATTCAGGAGCAATGGGAATTCATGCAGCTCTCGGTTGCCATGTACATCAATGCTGAACTTCCTGGAGTCCCTTCCCAAATGGTAAGTGGGAGTTTCTGTTATTACCTTTTTTTTGTAGAATCCTTGATATCCTGACAGGTTTTTTTTTTATTTACTCAGGGGGTCAAACCAATCAAAGGCTTCTGCCAAAGACTGAAAGGAAAAACTGGTCGATTTCGTGGCAATCTATCCGGTAAACGTGTCGACTTTTCTGGTCGAACGGTCATCAGTCCCGATCCGAATCTTAGCATCACAGAGGTGCCGTTCACACAACTTTAATTTCGTTCTAAAACGTGTAAATTGACATCAAAACACTTGCAGGTGGCGGTTCCGGATCGGGTGGCAAAAATCCTGACGTATCCTGAACGGGTTACTGCTCATAACATTGATCGGCTACGGCAATGTATCCGAAATGGACCTGATATCCATCCGGGTGCCAACTATCTTGTGGCAGGCAGCACAACAAACGCAAGCGGAAGCGCGCTCCCCTTCAAAAGATCTTTAAAATTCGGGAATCGGAATCATGTCGCGAACACCCTTCGATTAGGGGACACAGTGGAGAGGCATTTACATGATGGAGAGTTAGTAGACATATTTCTTTGGTACACGTGTTACTTTCCACTGAAAAATACACGCTAGTGTTGTACTCTTCAATCGGCAGCCGAGTCTGCACAAACTGTCAATCATGTCTCATCGAGCCAAGATACGACCTTGGCGAACTTTTCGATTCAACGAGTGTGTTTGCACACCCTACAATGCTGATTTCGACGGAGATGAAATGAATTTGCGTAAGTGTCTCCACTCAGCTCTCTTGGGAGACCACGACTGACGTGTTATTATGTTTGTGTGGCCGTAAGATGTACCGCAGACTGAAGAAGCCCGGACTGAAGCCACGGAGCTGATGAATATCAAATATAACCTTGTTACCCCTCGAAATGGCGAACCGATCATTGCTGCCACTCAAGATTTCATTACCGCCTCGTTTCTATTATCTAGAAAAGATAACTTTTATGACCGACAGCAATTCAGCCAAATCCTCCAATACTTGTCTGATGCTACCTTACACATAGATCTCCCACCTCCGGTAATTTGGAAACCCGTTCGACTATGGACTGGCAAGCAAGTCTTTAACGTCCTCATGAGGCCGAACAAAGATTCTCCTGTGAAAGTCAATGTTGAAGCCAAATGTGCTACACATCAAAAAGCTGCACCCGAATATTTGCCCGACATGTCGCCTAATGATGGCTGGCTCGTCATTCAAAATTCAGAAATCATGTGTGGGGTAGTCGATAAAGCTATTGTGGGTGGAGGAAAAAAGGATTCGATCTTCGCAGTCATCAATTGTGACTTTGGTCCTGATGAAGCTGTTAAGGCCATGAATAGACTTGCCAAAGTTAGTGCTCGGTGGCTAGGTGTGTTTTAACTCTTCTTATATGCTTTTCTGGGTCGATCATCTGTTTTAAAACGCTAGACTCACGCATACATCCACACAGCGAATATGGGATTTTCCATCGGTGTCGGCGATGTTACGCCGGGTGAAAGACTATCTACCCAGAAAAACGCACTGGTTGCCAAAGCCTATAAAGAGACGGACGAACTTATTCAGCAATCGAAAGCTGGCAAACTAGAAACCCTGCCAGGGCGCGACTTGGATCAAACACTTGAGGCTATGATTTCCGGAGTTCTCTCAAAGGTCAGAGACAGTTTGGGTGAGATTTGTATGGCGGAACTCACAAGGCACAATGCACCTTTGATCATGGCGACCTGTGGATCCAAAGGTGCGAGTCTTGCCATATGCAACATGTTCCATCGGCTCAATTAACCTTCTCTACAAAAATCTCAGGTTCCAAGATTAACGTGGCCCAGATGGTAGCTTGCGTTGGGCAACAGATTATCAGCGGTAATCGTATCCCGGATGGTTTTCAAGACCGGTCTCTTCCCCACTTCCACAAGAAAGCCAAAGAGCCACCAGCCAAAGGTTTCGTCAGAAACAGTTTCCATTCTGGCCTTCGTGCAACCGAGTTTCTCTTCCATGCAATCTCTGGTCGAGAAGGTCTCGTTGATACCGCGGTCAAGACCGCCGAGACAGGTTATATGCAAAGGAGATTGATGAAAGCCTTAGAAGATCTGGCCACTCGTTACGATGACTCCGTTAGAAACTCTGTGGGCGGAGTCGTCCAGTTTACCTATGGAGATGATGGCTTGGATCCTACTTACTTAGAGGGAGACGGCGAGCCTGTGGAATTTGCCCGTACTTGGAGGCACACCAAAGTGAGCTGACACCAAGCCAAGTTTCTTGACAAGATCTACTTGACTCGATATCCTGTTATATGTTCTGACATACTTACTTTCCCCTTGTTGTGCAGGCCACAGTTTCGCACCTTGATGGACGAGGGCTTCATCCATACGAAATCACCCAATTAGTGACCGATGGTCTAGCTCAGCCTCGTTTTACCACCGCTTGCACCCAACGTTTCAGAGACTCGGTCTTGGATTTCATGGTTGAGCGGGTCGTCAAGCCTGCTGCGAATTTCAGACAGAGCTATGGCATGTATCCCGCTCTAGAATTAGAAGGAGATTGGGACGAATACACAGACCTGTCTGCCGGAGTGAGCGGTAAGTTCACATCGAGTTATCTTACTGATCTCCTGTCTGCCTTGGATTCGTTTCTGATTCAATGATCCTTCAGAGGCCAGTAAGAAAATTGTTATCAATAAGACGCAAGTCACCCTCAAACAAATAGAGACATTCTTGGACCATTGCTGGAAAAAATATGTCAAAGCTAAAGTCGAGCCAGGTATGAATTATCACCCCATACTGGTAGATTGTTGATTCGACTAACAGAACAATGACGTCTTATCTTATTACCTGTCATCATCCAGGTACTGCCGTCGGTGCTGTCGGTGCTCAATCGATTGGTGAACCTGGAACCCAAATGACGTTGAAGACTTTCCATTTTGCTGGTGTAGCCTCCATGAACATTACGCTTGGTGTACCTCGAATCAAAGAGATTATAAATGCTTCCAAACTGATTAACGGACCGATCATCAACGCACCTCTAGTGGCTAATCACAATGAAAGGTCCGCCAGAATCGTCAAGGCCCGGCTGGAGAAAACCTACTTGGGTGATGTATATGACCAGCAGATTCCTTTTCTCGAAGACCCTTAGCTGACAGCTTCCCATCTGCAGGTCACATCTGTTATCGAAGAAATGTATTCCAACGATTCAATGTACCTTGGTATTCACATCGACATGGAAACCGTTCAACGCTTGCAGGTAGGCTGTACATGAAATCAACGGACTTTATGCCTTGCACTGACACAGATCTTGCTGTAGCTGGAAGTCACCTTAGATTCAATCAAATGGTCAATCATCAACGCGCCTAAATTGAAAATTACTGCTGACGTGCGTTTGGCTGGCCTATCATTTTACAATACCAAATGCTCTTGCTGACTCGATCTGACTCCACAGCAAATACAAATCATTCCTCGCAAGAATCGTATCCGGGTTTATGTAGATACCAACTTAGCAGACGGTGAGAAAGTACTACCGTTTTATCAAAAGTTGATGTTCCTTCGCCGAGTCCTTCCAGGCGTGGTGATCAAAGTAAATTTCCAATTCAATTAAGCGACAACCAAAGACCTTGGTAACTGACTATAAATTTTTTGGTCTGCAGGGCCTTCCCAAAGCTGGCCGGACAGTCATCAACAAAAACAGCAAGAATGAATATGAACTTCTCGTCGAAGGGTATGGTCTGCTTGATGTAATGACCACAGATGGTGAGGCTCTCTGTGGATGATCTGATTGGTTTGCAATGTTGACAGTTGCGTTCCACACTTCCAGGTGTTGTTGGCACACATACTATGCCCAATCATATCATGGAAGCACAAAGTGTGCTAGGGATCGAAGCGGCTCGAAACTGTATTATTAAAGAAATCTCGTACACGATGGACTCGCACGGATTGAAAGTCGACCCGCGACACATGATGTTATTAGGAGACATCATGTGCTACAAGGGAGAAGTGCTTGGAATCACCCGATTTGGGATTGCCAAAATGAAAGATTCAGTCAGTTAAAGCGTTCAGTTAACCCCCCCCCCCCACCCCCGTGAGATGAGGCTATTATTTACCCCGATCGTCGGACTTCTTTCAGGTCCTTATGTTGGCTTCGTTCGAGAAAACAACCGACCATCTTTTCGATGCTGCCTTGTATAGCAAAAGAGACGCTATCGAAGGCGTGTCGGAATGTATCATCATGGGCAACCCCGCAAATGATATCGGCACATCAGCGTAAGTGTCCCGCCAAATGCACCCAACCATCTTCGATCATCTCATTAACATACATTTCCTCCCTCTCACTCCATACAGGGCTTGTTTGGTCTCCGAAGTACCCAAACTTCCACCCAGACGAAAAGTCCTGTTTTATTAAACAGTCCTCCCATGTATATAACCTGTCCATGATGGAATTTATTACTCTTTTTTTGTTGCCCCTTTGCTTGCGGTAGGGAGGTCAGATGGGAATAATATGTAATGTATCGTTATATCCATGCCACGCCAATCTCACGAATTCCAAAGGTTGTCTCATCTATATATGTAGCACATGGGGTTCCAATGAGCTAGTCGAGATGATGCTCTGTCTGACATGCTTATGGCAAGAATATGCTTTTTGACAGTCTTGGAGAGACGCTCTTTTGGCAACAACCAGTTGCCCATACACGAAGCCTAGCCCTTTGTTTTAAAAAGAATCATATTTCTGCCATCTACATACAACTAAAAAAATAGCCTGAGAGGGCCAAACAAACCGTCAGGCTTGAATAGTGCTTTCTATTGATTTCTCATGCGGCTTCTAACGCCGGCGTCGATATTTCACTTTTCAATGTCATTTCTGACATTCACTAAGACTTTACAATCATAGCGACCTTCAAAATCGAAGGCTACATACTACATAGGACCTTAAACAAGTAAAACCCCCAACATCCGGGGCAAAAACAAGCAGCCTCCCCAAATTTGGGGGCATATACTAGTCACATAATAAGTTATAAAAACTAGCAAAGTTGTGGCTGCCCAACATGAAGTGGATCATAGGTTGCTTGCTTATCAGTCTTACTCCTCTAACTCTTCACAGCAACCAAAATTACAAGATTCTATTGACTACTTCTTGAATCTGAATTTCATCATTCAAGCCCTTCATTAGGGAACACGGTTCAATACATTATACAACGGTGGAAAGAAGATGAAAGGGATTCATAAAAAAGACTGGATAAAAAGATCCATTCATCATTTGGCTTGCCGAAAGGGGGGAGTGTTTCCCCCTCTGGACCAGAATAGAGCAGTGGGAATTATTTTACTGGCGCCTTTGTGAGGAAGTGAGGGTTCACGGAAAACCGCCGTTTCGGCTTGGGGTGGGTGGGTGAAGAGAGAATTCAAACAACACAACTACAAAGGCAGAGAGCGGGTGTGTGGATGATCAAAGGCAAAAGCTAAGGTAAATTGAGGCAAAGCTGTGATCTTTTTTTCTTCTGCTCTTCAGTCAGTTTTCTTAAAAATACTACGTCTTTGCGTTCCCTGAATCCAGGGGGGGGTTCTCGCAGAATGCTATGTAGCAACAAAATAATTTGCTTTCTTAGAATGAGCTAGAAAAAACAAACAATCACACCATGGAATCGTAGTGGGATATCTTCAATGACAAAAGGTACCAAACTCAAACCAGATGGTGAACCGGCCGGTTGTGGAGCTTTGAAGCAGGAATACCGAGGGAGTACCTTTGTACAGTGAAAACTTGGGGGATCGCGACGCTAATTCGATTGGAAACAGAACTTCATGACAATCTTTTTCCAATGAATTCATTGGTTGAATTTATTTCATTTGTAAATTGCTCTTGCTACTTGTCCCTTCATACAAATGAATTGGGCGCATGCACGGTCATCGACTGCTTGCCATTTGCTTTGCTTTTTGCTTCGATTGCAGCGCACTCTTCGCTCCAATGTTTGAGGTTCAATTGTGCGCTTCTGACTGGCCAGCCAACAAAAACTATACTTACGGGACCTCATCATCCAAATCATGACGAGCACACTGCGCCGATTCGCTGACAAGAGCATGTTCGGCACAATCCCCCCCGGGGTGAATCCGTTTGCTTACATCCTCAATCTCATCACCCCCCAGTACTTTTTACCGCTTTCTAAATATACGCTAGGACTCTTGGTATTTTTCTTCATCGTTCATCTGTTGATTGCGTTATTCTGTATCGTAATATTGGTATTACCCTACCTCCGTGGACGAAAACAATCTCAATGGTTTCTCAGGAGGCTATACATCAAAGATCGCTCTGGGACGGACGGTTTGTCCATATGATTTGACTGCTTCGATGCATTTTATCCAATTCTTATGGGCGCTTGTCTTCTCTACGATTGAAGTGTATAAAACCACATTGTTCTGGGTCAATGGCGGGATCCTTATGACCACGTCCCAGTTGGTGGGCTCGGTAGCGACTCAAACATTCATCTTCATTCAGATCAAAGCCGCCAAGTCACTTAAGTATGCAATTCATGCTCAGATAGAACCTTCGTAAGTCGTTGTCTTATATTTATAGACTGTTTAGTATTGAAGTACAGAAACAGCTTGCTCACCATGCATACAATTGGCGCGTGTCCCCCTCTTCTATAGTTTGGGAGTCTTGAGCATGTGCGAAATGCTTACCTACTGGAGTTTGATGCATTGTTTTGTGGTAGCTGTGTTGGTTTATTTACTTCCAAAAACATTATAACACCTTGGAGCTTGAAAGAGAAAAACTGACTGGCCCTTGGAAACTTTCCCATGAAATTGCATGAAATCAAAGCTACTATGACCCTGAGACTCATGGAGTTGTTGCGAAACGCTCGAGGAGATGGACTCCATCGCCGACCTTCATCAACTTTCTGTTTCTTGGTTTCCCGATCTGCCTCGTCATTGCGATCATCTGTCTGTTTACATGGCTATCCATAGTGCACAATCGATTCATAGCTGAGGCAGTCAAGGTTTTGGATGCACTCGGAAAGGGCTCGTTTGTTTGGGACCAACTGAACGCTCCGTCGGCGTCCGATGAACAAAAATTCCAGCTTACGACTCAGCTACTTCAAATTGTAGCTGAGGCAAAGGGGCTAAGCGAAGACATCAACATTCACTCAAAGCATTTGATCAGTTGTTTACGCCATTTCCAGTGTGCTTTGTTAATGATTCTTTCCGTCACTTCCCTGGTAAGCTTTCCTTACGAGGCTACGCGGTTCATTGAGAGTCAGGCTGATGATTGCTTTTGTGTGACAATTGTGCCGAACTTCCGGGGGGTTCTGGTTTGTACCAGATTTTTATCTTTGTATTTTCGTGCTTGGTCAAAAAATTTCAACAAAGGCAGCGCCAATCAGACCGTGTCTCAAGACAATCAACATCTTTTTGCAGTTGGCTGAACCTTAAACGTTTTTCGAAGACGAGCGGGGAGAAACATCACCAGACGAATAATAGCTTGATTAGTATTGCGAGGTCCAATCGTCAATTTTGTGGGTAACTGCATGGCGTGTAGAACTTTCAGCTGAAGACTCACTGGTCGATATTGTTTTTCTTGATTGAGGACCTTTAGTTCATCTGGTCCTCAGGGCGGTGTCTATCATCATCGCGATGCTTACCAGCATAAGTCTTTTTATTATAGGGATTGTGCGAACAGGCGATGTCGTCACAAGGTAAGCCATCCTACAAAATACCCTCTTGAATTCAGCTTTTTTCTAAAGGAGGACACGAGTGGACATTTTCATGTAGCTCTTACTGGCGAGGCGTGATGACATGGTTAACGACTGTGTCTGGTACCTGGTCTGCCATCCCGGTTGCCTGGCAATGTGTGCGTTGATAACATCATTATCATACTCTATCCGTATCGTTTCCCATCTGATTCGGACAACGCAGACTAACTATGTCGCTGCCTAATTGAGATAACAGTGGACGCTATACCGGGAGGAAATGGGTGGACTGCCACAAGTCTCTGCAAATGTTGCTCCTTCAACTGAAAAACCAACCCACCAAACAAATGTCCCAACCAAGCCTTGGGACTGCGAGGCGCAAGATCGAGAAAGCATTACTTCGCAGGACAACAACTCCATTGTTTCCTGTCGTGACTCGTCAGCAATGAGAGTTCAGTAATACTTGGAGGGATTAGTAGCGGCTGTTGTTGCATACTCAAAGCTTCTCTTGAGACTAACACACTCTTTGGCAAAAAAAATCACTTTTTCTACTGAATCAAAATGTTACATCAGCGACAGTTTTCCTGTGTATAATTATTACCCATAACAGACTTTTTTCTATGTATCATTTCAATCCTGTAAATATTCAGTTGTGATTTGTGTATGCACTCAATATTTATCCTGCGAACACCATTTGTTTTTCAATCAAGAGAAGAAGAATTAATTGTTGAAAGGTGCCTCCAAAGTTTCACTTAGAGATTTTGAAATAATCAACAGTTTTATCTACCTCAATCACAGTGCAATGAATCATGCCATCACACTTTGGGACCTCTCTTGACCACAAGGCTTTATAGATAAAACCCCATTATTTTAATCCTGATTTCAATTGAGGCATATTGCCCTGTTTAACATTGATAATATTGTGTAGCATTGTTTTTTTCACACTTGTCATTGACATTCAAGCAAAATTTATCTATTATTGGGCATAACCCAGCATTTACAATATGCAAATTAGTTTGCTTATTCCTATGTGAAATATGTGAAAGCTCAAGTTAACAGACTTTTGAAGCTTTCTTTGACCAGCAAGGTCTCATATGTAATCACAGCCATCATTCTCATCCTGTTTCAATTGAGACATACATCTCTATGATTGAAATTTCAAAGAATTCCAACACTTTTTGATTGGACACAAACTGACAATTATTGATGTGAGATGATAACACTTTTGAACTGTACCTTTTGAATTCTACTCAGGCTTTGTTTCTCTTCCAACAATGTTACTTGATAATATAAAACTCAAAAATACAACAATTTTATTTAAGATTCATTATCATTCATCTGAATTTTACACAACCATGCAAATCCGCAGTAAATATTGGTCCAGGCCAGAATGTGGATCTTGGCTGGAGAATATATGCAATTTTCACATTTGACCATCTAAGCACACTTCCACTCCAAGAATTCTTACAATCCCTTTCCCCAAGAGAATAATCTGCAGTATTTTCATATACCAATACAACATGTTTTGGCCAGTCAAATGGCACACAGACCCTATATTCATGGTTGGTTAGCCTTATTTCAAGGAATAAAAACCAATTTCTGTAACCAAGGGTCCAAGATAGATTTTGGAATAATTGGATGACAATCTCTGTCAGCTCTGGTCTCTTATGTGACCTAGAGTTGATGGGATAAAAGGGTCACACTATAGCCAAAGAGTGGCCAGTGGAAATAAGTCCAACTCAACACAGGTAATGTGGAGGGACTGGCTCCTTATAAAAATAAGGGACAACTGTGGAATGAGCTTCACAGTGCCTGAGCTGAAGGATTTATAAGGAAAAGAGGTTTGTACTAGTCTTATAAGTTAAATGGGTAACTTATAAGGCTAGTAGGATGATAAAGAGAAATATAATAACTAAAGTACAATAATTTACTGTAAAAACCCCACTCACTAGGGGGTATCAAATATAGGAAATCCACCATCAGAAACCAGTCACTTTTCCAAAAACTTTTTTTTGAATAAAGGGGCCCCAAAAGGGGTTAAATGGATAACCAACATGTTTAAAAAAGGGTGGATTTTTCCAAACCAGTCAATTAAATAATGGTGTATTTGGTTATATTTGATACCCCCTACTATATTGTTATAATAACTAGTAAGTTAATTGGGTTTGTATGGTAATATTGTCTGGGGGATGAATCTCAGGGGGAGAGGCATCCTCTTAAATATTACATAGCAGGGGTCAATTCTGCTGCTGGGACTGGTGCAGTCCCCTTATTGTTACACTTTTCCTTGGGGGAAAGTGTCAGGATATTCAGAGCATGATAAATGTACATGTGTTGAATATCCTTTATTTCAGAAAATACCATAAGAGAGATAAACATAATAAACATACACACAAGAGAGGTAAATTGGATAATCATCTCTTGGATACACCCAGGAGATAATTATCCTTTTCAACTTGATTATAATTTTCATGAAAGAGGTAAATTAATAAAGAGGTGAATCTTTATTAATTTACAGAATAATTATTAACATAAAAAATACATGTAAAAAGGAATAACATTACTTAATAATTATTAACTTAAAGATTACATATAATAATAATTGTTATGTAACCCAAGGGGGTTACATTCTATTGTAGACACCTGGGCTAGTGTCTCAGTGTCTGACAATCTCAAATCATCATTCCCATCAATCATACTGGATATCTTTGGTTGCAGCGGTGGGCCGCTACGCTACACTACGCTACGGGCCCATGTAGCGTTAGCGTAGCGGCGCCATTTTTTTTCGTGTAGTGTTAGCGCGCCGCTACGGCCGCTGCGCTACGCTAATTTGTAGCGGCGCTAACACTAACCTTTTTTTGGTGTAGTGTTAGCGCGCCGCTGGCGCCGCTACGCTACAGCGTTTTTAGCGGCAAAAAAACGGCAAAAAAACGGCAAAAAACCGCTAAAAACGGCCGTAACGCAGCGTAGCGGGCAGTTTTTGGCGGCCTGTGTGTGTAGCATTAGCGCAGATGGGGGGAATCGCGCTAACGCTACGCTAAACGTTAGCGCACATTTTCACCCCATGCGCATAGCGTTAGCGCAAAAAAAGAAACAAGCGCTAACACTACGCTAAATTGTAGCGAAAAATCGCTACACTACGCTACGCTAATGCTACGGTTAGCGTAGCTGGCCCACCATTGTTGGTTGTCTTCAGTCACTTAGTAGGACACTAGTGGATTCAACCTGATGGTAATAGTATACTGATTGGAAATGTAAGCTTTCTTGCCTGAATACTAGTTCTGTTACAGGTTTTAAAATAGTGCCATTTTACTAATGAAGAACACCTCAACATCAACTATAGTGCCAAATGTGTCCTAATTGTGCTGAAAATGGCTCACAAGTTGCATATAATGTGTACTGAGCTCATGTGGAGTGTCCAATTTTGAGGAAATCAATTTGCACAGAAACTTTGTAAGCTCCTGTGGATGTTTGATATTTTATGACTTTAATGAGTCTTGAGCAATTATTTTTCACAAACTTTATAGTGATGATAGGTGTTGACAACATTATCATGCCATATTTCTTCCCTTCCGTTTCTGACCAACACATTAGGGGGTATCAAATATAACCAAATCCACCATTATTTAATTGACTGGTTTTAAAAAATCCACCCTTTTTTAAACATGTTGGTTCTTTATTTAACCCCTTTTGGGGCCCATTGATGCAAAAAAAAGTTTTGGGAAAAGTGCCTGGTTTCTAATGGTGGATTTCTTATATTTGATACCCCCTATTGTTGAAATTTTGTTGACTTTGGCTTATACCATGATTTGATGTTTTTTTCTGGTTTTTTCATTCTACATACAGACACTTCTTCAAGTGCACAATATGTTTCTTGTTGCATGTGATCAGTACAACATGTGAGAATGGTAAATGTGTTGAGTTGAGAGTAGAGCTGTCACGTCCGCTCCTCCCAGTTCACAGGCAGTGAAACCTGAAAAGGAGCGCGATCGACTTCCGCGGGAGTTGGTGGCAGCCAGGCGAGAAGCACAGCAAACCGGCAACAATGGAGACAAGGTGAGAGAATATTTCAGTGAACTTGCTGGTCGACTGAAAAAACTAATGACAAATTTTTGCATTCCGATCCCAGCATGAACGCAGATACACGTCCAACGAGTGGGGACGGAGACGCACAAGCTGAGGAGCCTACAGCCAAGCCATCACCATCTTCCCCGATTGCATCATCTTCCACTCCCAATAAAGCCTCGCCGATTGACCTCAGACCACGCATGGGTCGGAAACAGGGATGGGACGCATGGAGGCCTGGACCATACGGCCCTCCAACACCTCCGAGTATGGAGAAGCGACTGGCCGAAGAGAGTGCGTTGGAGATGGCCGCAATGATGGGTCACGGAAGACAGGATGGTCGTGCTCGGAAGATTAGACCTCGTAGGACCGTTGATGTGGGAGGCTCGATGTCACGCTGGACCTTGGTAGATCATATCGTCTACATATCACTGCTCAGATTTTTTTTTTAAAAAAAACATGCACTAAGACCAATTGGACATTCATTATTATTTTTTTAGATGAGATCTTTGAAAACTTGCCCAGATGAACAGTATTTTATCAGACCTTGTATAGATCATTTGATTGAAGTAGGTAGTTTTTTTTTTTTTTTGCCCGGCCTTCCAACCGAGAAGAAACAGTAATTTAATGGGAGGGAGTCTGTCAATTTTCCAATTTGTTAGTTTTTACCACCTCAGGCGTACAGCACCAACCCGTCGACGTCAATTTTGACAAAATATGTTCACACATCTACCAATAAAATACGTTGCCCAATCAATATTGTCCGGGTAGGTAAATTCATCAAACATCGAAGCTGCTATCGGAATTCAAAGAGAGGGCAAATGACAGAAGAGGTCTGGCATTTTTTTTTTGTAGTTTACACCTGATGCGAGGAGGGTACTGACAGGGGCGACGAGTGGCGAATTTACTCTATGGAACGCGCTGACATTCAACTTTGAGACGATTCTACAAGCGCACGACACAGCCGTCCGAGCGCTGGATTGGTCGAAATCAGGAGCCTGGTTGGTATCAGGAGACAACAATGGAATCATCAAATACTTCCAACCGAACATGAACAATCTACAGATGTTTGAGGGACACAAGGATAGCATTCGGGATATCAGTTTCTCGCCCAATGATAGCAGGTTTGTTAGTTGTGGGGACGATGGGGTAATCAAACTCTGGGGGTTTGAGGAACGAAGAGAGGAGAGAAATTTCACGGGTCCGCAATGTATCTTATGCATTTTTTCCATTGTGCCTCTACCGCTTGGTGATTCTGATGACTTGCTGAATTTCCTGATTCCTCCCTCCATATTCCGTAGGACATGGGTGGGATGTCAAGTGCGTCAAATGGCATCCAACTAAAGGCTTGATTTGCTCAGGTGGCAAAGATAGCTTGGTGAAGTTTTGGGATCCACGGATCGGGAAATGTTTGGCCACTCTGTCAGTCCATGCGAATCGAAAATTCACAAGGCTGAGCAACATTTCACTGAGAAAGAGTAAATCTTGAATTCTAATCAGCCACGGACACAAGAACAGCGTGCAAGCATGTGCTTGGAATCCCAATGGACACAGTATTGCAACAGCCTCCCGGGATCAGTTGATCAAAGTATTTGATATCCGAATGATGAAAGAGTTAGCTAATCTGCGGGGACATAAAAAAGAAGTTTGTTGTGAGTGTTTCGTTTCCAGCTGTTAGCTCTATGAGATGAACCGTTTTGATAACTTGGCCGAAAACCTCCAGCTCTTGCGTGGCATCCTATACATCACGATTTGTTGACTTCGGGGGGCTCGGATGGATCGATATTCTACTGGTGTTTGCCTGATTCGAATCCTATCGACTCACTTGACTTCGCACACGATAGCAACGTATGGTCACTGGATTACCACCCTCTGGGACACACTCTCGTTAGTGGTAGCAATGATCACACCACTCGGTTTTGGAGTAGAGGTAGACCAGGTGTGAAGATCGCCAATGATAGGTTCCATGTGGGTAAGGAGCGGGCCCGGGAGATGGGTGTCAAAGATGAGGAGGAACAAGGTCAATATACACTTTCATTTTTTACATATCCTTGTCTTCTGAATGCCTCAGCTAAAGACTTGATAACGATGCAACGCTCTCAGTCGAAGACTTCTTTGTACCTGGTCTCAGCAATCAGTTTGGACACGCTACTGTGGGGAGCTTCTTTGGTGCAGGAACGTTTGGACAGCCCTCAACAAAAGATCGCAACATGGCTGAAATGGACGCGCAAATCCAGATACCTCCGGCGCTGATGGGTGGAGCATTTGGGGCCAACGGGCCTTCCGTCATGGGTTTACCGGTGCCGCCCCGACCAGCAGAAGCAGTTGCAATGGGTAGCGGGGGTGGGAGCGGTGGGCAAGAACTACCAAGTATACCTGGATTCGGACGTGCAGTAGATACGAGCGACAATTCATTACCCGGCTTGGCGCTTAACTCCAATCAAATCAACCATCCTCCACAAAATTCAGGCTGGAGAAGAGGCCCATTGCCCAGTCAGGAGGTCGCAATGGGACGCGATTTGGGAGGCTTTGGTGGAGACATGGGGCATCAACAAACTGGAAAAAATCGATGGCGAGGCAACAAAGGTAATCATAATCAACACCATCGTCAACACCAAAATCGATGGCCTTCCAATCTCCAAAACAATCATCCCGCCCAACAACAACAACATCATCACCATCACCATCACCATCCTGTTGGTGGCCCACCTGGTGTGGGCCCTGGTCTAGGGAACAGTAATAACATGCACATCGACGAATTCGGAAGAGAAATCCCTCATCAAACTTCTTCAAATAACAAATTCAAATAATCGCGTTTTGGTCTGAAATTTCTTATCTAAGGATTCCTAAAAAGACGAATATGATCGAGATCTTCTTGTAGTTTTACTCTTTAATATTCAAGATTTCAACATGCCCCTTTACTGAAAGTTGAGCTTCCTCTCCTTCAGACATGATCAGGCTCTACCTTGCTTCAAAACGAAGATGAACAGTGGAAAATGCACCAACTCCGTTAAATCTACAATTCCTGATTATCAAAGCAGGGGCTTCATCTCCCACTTGCCTAGTCCTCGCCACAGTTCGATGTACCAACCAACCCCCTTCATGATGAAGAAATTATTGGTGATAATTGTGAACCCACTGATGCATACTATCTGAAAGTCTTTATATCTACTGCTTGCCCTATTTTAGAAACTTTCTGTCACAAATATATCATAGTCGACATGCTCAAACTAAAGAAGAATAACTATGCACAAACAAACTACATAAATAAACCTTTCACAGCGGACAGCATTTCACATTTATTACTTTCTGATCAATTTTTCAGGATTATCGAAATTCTAATTTATGTCTAATCATCGTTGAGATTGAGAAGAAACAAATGTCTTTCATACCAAAAGAAAATGGAGAACCCGCGACCCTTGATCAGTAAGACTTGGTGACGATTCTCTCGACAAGTTGATAGAGTTGATGAAACAAAACTCTGAGTCCGTTCCTGTTGTTCAAGTAGATTTCTTTGAGCAAGTATCTGGCTTGATTGGCGACTTCGATGGGAATCAGTCCTGTTTGTCCTTGACTGATGTGATGCAAAAAGACCACCGCAGCTGTTCTTGTTTCCGCCGAGACTTCAATTGTTTGGCTGATGAGCTGTCTCAACTCTTCAAGTCCCCTGAACATCCTTTCCGAGTCGCCTTTGTCACTGGTAAACACTTCTGATAGCTTTGTTAATCTGGAATCATATCCGATCAAGTTTTTGAAACTCGCGAAGTTTGCTGAGGAATTCAAAAAATCAACACAGAAATCAGTATGTCTGTTGCGCAAACGTAGATCATATTTTACTCTTACCCATTTCTGCACTAAGCCCACCGGTAGGATTCAGCATTTCTTTATTTTCATTATTATGATCATCGTGTTTTTTTTTTTTTTAAAAAAAAAAGGTGCATCAGTTTCAATAGGGAGTGAATAGTCAGGTAAACGAAACGTGGAATTAAAATTGTGGATGAGATTTACCAGATACCCAAGGAATTGAGGGCACCTTCAACTTCGATGTAGGGCTATTGTGCCAACGCTCAGACAATATTTTCGACAGCGAGTCGATATATTGAGACACCATCCTGATTTGCTCGGACGTTAAATGAGCTGGCTTGAATATGGCATACTTCGATTTGAGACTCGAAAGGCCATATAGCACGACTGCTTCTAGCTTGTGATTCCTAGGCTTGGGAGCCCCAGACTTCATTGCGTACGCGATTGCTTGGATCCACAGTAAAACATCATCCTTGCCGCGAGAAGAGACGGTTCTATTGAGGAGATAATAGAAGGCTTTCTTGATCAGGTCTACCTCATTGTCTATCATCATGGTCCGCAATGAATCCGGTTTCTCGGTATCACTATACTCCTCGAATCGCGTCCTCAGATCTTCCACATCCTCGATAAAGGCACTCAACATCTCATCTTTTGAAGCTTTTTCTAAAAATCGTCTTTCGACATCTGTCTGTCTTTCCACCCCAACTAATCATCACCAGGTTTCCCCCCATTCATCGTTTCATGCATGAAGAACAACACACCAGAGATAGCACGATTAGCTTGCCTTGAACTCAAAAACATTCAATCAGAGAAAAAAGTTACATCGGTTTTCTTACATTGTTTCAAAGCTATTTAAGTTCAGCGCGTTTTGTTCATGAAAACAAAGCGAAAACAAAAAGCGCAATTTGAATTAGTAACTTACGCGCCAGCCTGTATTTATTTGAGCGTGTTTTAAATTTTCCAAGGGCCTAAAAACAAGGGGGAATCAAATGAGGAGATGACTGACATAGATCATTGTAGTTATGGATTGAGGGAGGCCCTCTCAACGAAGACTTGAATGGTTTTTTGACCGCATCCATCAAGTAGACGCCCGTAAGACTATCTGTGGTCAGCGGGATCTTATACGGCTCTTCGAGCAGCACCCCTTCTTTCAGGTTTCTGTTCACCCCAATCAACGCGATGACTGGTCGAATGTTTTGTGGCCAGTCGACGCCTATCATCAACAGCGTGACTACAGCTAATAGTCTGGTTGCTGATCGCATCGCAAATGATGCTCTTCTAAGAAAAAATCCTGGGCGTATATTGAAAGTTCTTGACAACCGAGCACGTCGACGAAGGTTTAATTAATGAAGTGTGTCAAGGAATGGGTGCTTCAAAGATCGATCTCTGGGCTCGAAATGACCACACAAGAAAGGATCGGTGACCTGGTGCAGTGTTCTTCTGGATGAGAAAAAGCTACAGGCTTTATAGTTTTTTTTTTTTTTTTCTGTGGGCGTCTGGGTTCCAAGACGAAAGACAAAAGAGTGGTACTGAGGTAAAAAAAACAAACCATCGGGGATACGAGAACCTCGGCGCTGAAACGCATGCACAGATCGTCGAGGTGGCCGCTGGGAGGAGCCGAGAGTGTTCCCCGGGCAGGACTTCACGCTGCAACAGATGCATGTCCATAATCTTTTACAATTTACAGAAGCCGTGGACTGCATGAAGACGATCGCTGTGATCGTCATGGATCTTTAGCTAGGCTAGTTTTCCATCTTGCACGCCGTAGTTGACTTGACACCTATAAGAAGCTTTATGGTTATCTCCTGCACATGCTACAGATAGCAATCTTTTTCCGTCAATGGAGATTTAAAATAAGCTCTGCTGTCACCAGTTGCTACTTTTTTTTCTTTTATGAACAGCGGTTGTGCGGAGGTGCAGCCATTTTATTTTCTCGGATCCTTTGAGTTTTGTAGACGCGACGTGTTTCACTATCAGCACTGCACAGCAAGGTATTTAGTCTGGTATGCATGTCCTTGTGTTTTTTTTATAGATGAATGGTTACATACACACATGATAATCCAGACAACCAAGATTATAGGTTCAAATAACGTGTACATATTGTTTTTGAGCAATTTTTTGAAGGACGCTAGTCACAGAAGCAAAGGAGAGATGTATCATGTAGGCAGTTGGCGCGGTGAAAGGGCCCTGTTAATCTGTTGCAGGCGCGGTCAGCATGATAGCCAATGCCGCCGAGCTCTCGACACATGTTAAGAGAAAAAAAAAAAACAAGCAGCAACTTGACACTTTTCTTCTATTCATGAGAATGAAGAAGACGACTCCCATTAAACCTGGTGGTATGGCAAGATGGCCTTCGATCTTCGACAATGACAGTCTCCCAATTGTGGGAGCTTCATTGCGTATGTATATCGGTATGGATGAGTGGCCCGGAGGAGACAGCTGATGTAGTTTTCTCCGGCTGGCTGAGTCCTGCTGAGCCGCGTAAAAACACTATATCTTCCAACCCCATAGAAAGTTCGCATCAGTTGGCAGCGGAGTCCTCCCAACAAAAACAGGATGAGGAAATCACATATCACCTTATCATAGCTTAAGAAATTCCGCCGAATGGAGGCTCCGCGGGCCGAAGGGAGCCTGCAGCGTCCGGGAACAGGACTGGAGCGGGCTCCGTGTATGTATACCTGCGCCAGCAGTATTACACAGCAGCCCTTCCACCAACAGGGGGGACTTGTTAGTGGGAGTTTTTTTCAGTGAGGGTTGGTGATTGACGGGGCTTCGTAGCCCCTATACGAGAGATTCCGATGCATCCATATGGGGTAGCCGGGTATGGGGCTGCTACGTGTTTGCTGTTCAAAGGGTCTGATGAAGTGCGAGCCTGAGAACAAACGCCTGCCGTCACAAGTGGAGTCCGGTTGTCTCGAGCTGGAGCATGTCCAACTTCACTCACTCGGTCCCCACACCTTCTTGCTTGCTTCCATCAGTCTTTCTGATGATCATGGGACCCGCGAGCTTCTTGATACTGTGGGGGAAAGGGGATGCTTGAAGAGACTTTCTACTTTGGATGGGTCGAAGGCACAAGAGAGTTGACATAAGTCTGACGCTAGCTTAACACTGCCAGCACACAGGGCCAGCGGTGACCAGTTCAGAGTCATTTCTAAGCAATTCTCCAGATAATGCTCTCCAACCCGCTCCGGGTGCATCTGAGTAGGCCCCCGGCGACAATTTAGACACGAGGGCCCAAGAGATTGGCTTTCCCAGAGCTTTCGACTTGATTGGTCATTGAAAGTGATCCCTGTTTGTCTTAATATTCTGCCAATAAGTCATTGGATGCTTCCAGTGGGTGGCTGGAATGTGGATCAAGAGTGCGGATTTTGTCATGTCAAGAGTTCCCTTATTTTTATTAGCATTGAAGTATATGTTGCACAGTCAACAGGATTTCTTTTTCTCTTTACACATTTGTGAACAAGTTTGGGGAATGATGAGGGAACGCCCCCCCCCCCCAAAAAAAAGATGCATTCATTAGATAGTTGAAACAAAGGGTAGGATAGAATCACTTGAGAAGGAGAGTCAAGAAGGTTTTTGATCTTTTGTGGGCGGAAGGAATTCGAATCCGATTCGACCGGCCAAGTTACCGACAGGACCGGGCAACCCAACCTGAGATTTAAAGCTTTCGAGGAAGTTAGAGATGACGGAATAATCGGGTTGATTGTGGGAAAGGCCGTCCAAGGGGACGCCGGATTGATTCATCAAGTCTGCCAATTCGCTATGGATAGCCTTGTCGATGTCGTCCATCTCGACATCCGACTCGGATTCCGAGAGATCTTCCATCTCCCTTTCCAGGCCGCCGCCGCCTCCCCCCAGGTCCGGACCTGCTGGATCCGCCGGAATCGGACCGCCCTTCTTCTGCTTCTTCTGCCCCCTCTGCTTCCCACCCTTCTTTTGTAGCTCCTCGTCCATCCTGTTCATCAGCTTATCAAACGTATCCAGATCCACATTCGCCTTTCTATCTTCGGTTATGTCGCCTTCGTCATCCGATGAACTCATCGTTTCTTGCTCTTCTTTTTCTTCTGATTTGTCGGCTTCAAAATGAACTGAACGTTGGGGTTGCTTTCCTTTTGATACTGACGATCGTCCCTTGAGGTCGTCCGAGTCCATTGAAATATCTGTTGCGAAAGTCGTCTTGGTGCTTTCTTTTTTATCGGTGTCATTCTGGGAGACTTTTGAGCTGGGGGGCACATATGCTAATCAATAAGAAAGAGAACATAAACCATCAGTTTAAGTTTTTTGTTTGTTTGTTTGTAATACCAAGAAGAGAAAATACTGACCGCCTCTTTCCCTACGACTGTCCAAGATGGCTTCGTATTGTGCACTTGACAAGCCGAGCGCTTCCTGGGCGAATTTGAGGAAGTCATCACGTTCTTCATCCATGTCGATGTCATCTACGACCTCAGCATTAGCTTGTTTTTCGACCCCACTGGGGGTGTTTGAATCGTCGCTATTTGAGTCTTCCTCTGAGGAATCCTCGCACACCCCATCGTAGGATTGTTTGGCAAGCTTGGGCAACGATTTCTTATTTTTGGTGGACACATTGGTTGTGTCTGAGACAATAGTCGGTTGAGGCTCGTCAACCAAGGGCGGCGGATGATCGGCGGATGACTCGGCGGGCCTTTGGGATGATTGGCCCCATTCGGACTCAGTAAGACCAGGCACAAGAGCGGCCAGCCTTTTCTTCGTTTCTTGGTCATATTCACCATCAGACCTTCGGATGGGACCTTTGTAAGTTTTCTTAGTAGTACTCTTGCTTCGGCTAGGAAAGATGTCTGCACGCAGTTCTTCTTGCTCAGAATCTTCCGCACTACTGTCCTCTGAATCATCAGTCATCTCATCATCAGAATGTACAGCACCCTCCAAGCTTCCTTGTCCGTCCATGAACTTCTCCATTTGACTCGCAAAGGATGTCATCTTCTTCATCTCAGTATCATTCTGTTGTTCCTGTGTTTCTAGAGACGTCGAATTAAGCGGCTGTGATTGAGGATCGCCTTCTTCCTTCAGTAAAGCTTTGAGTTGTTCTTCATCCAGGTCTAGCCACTCGTCAGATTCTCCTTTGCAGTCCCTTGAATTGTTCTGATCATCGGATAGCTGAGATTGACTGACGGCAGAATCGAATCGAGTGATGATATCATTCGGTTTGAGGCTGTCTGAGTAAGCCTTCTTGGCAATCGATTCAAGTTCAACCCATTTCGTGCTACCCTCGACCTCGCCTTGGAAATAGCCGGCCTTCTGAAGTTTGCTGAGATAGCTTTGGTATCGACGAGAACGGCCGTTGAACATGGGATCGCAAGTCGTTCGACTGGAATCAACGGTCGATAACATCATCTCGAACCCGCATGCGATTTTCATTCCGACTAATCTTCTCTTCCACTCAACGCTCTTTTCTCTATCCACATCCATCCAGCCCACTTTTTCGAATGGCTTGGGCGGGTGAAAGGTCATTTCATGGTTCAATAAGATCGCATATAACGGCCGAGTCATTCGGATCAGACAATAAGGCCAGCTAGTCGCTGAAGATTTCCCTGCCTCTTGATTATCGGTTCGAGGGCTGTAGGGAGTCTGAGGCGGGAATCGAGCCATTTCTCGACATGCCTTTTTTGATCATTTTGAAAAATCCAAAGAAGAAAAAAAAAATCATTAGCAATTGACAAGTTGGTGATGATCGATCTGTCATATACCCACTTTAAAACTATCCGCGTCTTTCTCACAGAATGCTTTGACAGCCAAACCGATGAGATTTGGTTCAACTTGAAGAGCTTTGGCTATGCTGATATGGAGGTAGGCCTCTGTGTTGAAAAGATGGCTCTCAGTGAGCACTTGAGGTGATGCGCTCTGAATGCGCTCGAGAATAATAGAATTAATTGATGTTGAAGCCACAGTGGGATGAGATTTGGCCTGAAGAATTTGCAACGCTGACTGTGTTGACAGATCAGCTTGGGTAGATGGAGTAGCTTCCAAAGGGATCAGATGCAGGGCTCCTTCTTGAATCCAAACCTGTTGATGAGAATTCGGATGAGTCAGATCAGTTGAACTGACTGAGATATGGTTATTTTAAGCGGTGGGACTCAACTCGGCCTTTCGCCAGATCAGGGGTGAGCCATTTGGGGAGATGATCGGCGGCTTCGATCAAGAGAAACTCACCATCGTTGTCATGAACTTGAATCTGACAATCGAAAGTTTTGCTGATCTCGAACAAGCACCAAACCAGGAACCATTCATCTTGCAGGGAGATCCCGTAATGTAAGGTGCCCTCGAGTAGTGATGGGCCGATGGGTTTCAGGTCGGGTGGATGTCCACTATGCCAGATGAATTCGGTCTTGGTTGAGGAATACTTGAAGTGTTTGGTTCCCCAGTAGGTTTCTAGTTCGGCTTGGATAGTCGGCCCTTGGTTCCCCGCTGAGTAAATCGAAAATCTGCAGGTATCATCCTCCAAGGCTTCGCTGGATTTTTGCAGTAAGGATATGAATTGCGATGGATCGACTGGCTCTGGCATTTAGTTCTGAAGTCTGGGGTTGTGTTGTTCTGAGCTGGAGGAGAAGAATCTGGTCAACAGAGATTGGCTGGGAAACATCTTGTGGCTTTGGAGGTGGTTATGCTGCGGCTGAGCCGGACCGTGACCCTCAAGTTCAATTCCTCCTCCGCAGGACACCCAATTAAAGACAACATATACCCTAACTTAAGGCTCCGTTTGGCAGTCCATGATATCATAAAATATCATAGGAAAATCCTTCAAATTGTTTCGGGGGACCGCATTTATTATCATAAGTGAAAATAGTGTTTGGCTGGTCACGCTACAACACCAAAAATCCACTCTAATAAGCAGCAGCTGATTGTCTAGCTTTGGGATAATTGGTTTAAGGTTTATCAACCATATTCTGATTATCCGGATTTACATATTTTTCCTTATGATATATTGGACTGCCAAATGGAGCCTAACACAAGTCCTTCCGGGCGCAAAGCACCCCCTCCCACAGGGAGGGACTTGCGCACAAAGTCAAATCCCTTGGAGGGACAGGAATTGCAAATGGCTGGAGGGAAAATAATAAGCCTCAGTAATCCCCTCCATGACTCCCTATGGACTTGCCCTAGAGCCAAAAGATACTTGTGCATCCCAGCTTTCATTTGGTGCTGGTCTCATCCCCCTCAATCCTTTCCACTCCACCTCCACATTGTTCCAAAAATAACAAAGAATGCAATTATCTGAAAAAGCATCCACCAAGGATCCACAACCATTCATGCATTGTGGATCCTGGAGCTGCATTCTGAAAATCTTTGCAGATATTACAGGCAAGATTTGTTGCTTGTCATTGTTATGTATTTACCACCTTATTCTCCAAAGACCTTACAACATTTGCAAATCCTTCAGAAAATCTGAAAATGGATTTTCAGAGATATGGAACATGCTTTAGGCTCCATTTGACCTCCAAAATGGATTACTCAAGTCATATCTTACTCATAAGCTTCAAAAATTTGGGAGACATTGCACATGAAGAAAACCAACAAAACTGCCTGTTCAAAATTTTGTGAAGATGTGATTTGTTTTTTTAAAAAAATAAAAAAGTAGTTTTGGGACTGAAAATTCCTCCTGTCTCTCCAAGCTTTCTAACAAAATTCATAAGCCTCTCCTACAGAGAGTGCTCCGCGCGGGGTCCCCCACCCTCCGTTCAAGGGGATTTGTTAAGCTAGACATATACCGTCCTCCAAGGACCTCGAGGTTCTTCAACTTAAGGCTGGTGACCACCTAATTTGTGACATCTCAACCATCACAAACATCTCCCCCCAGCACCCCAATGACCAACATATTGTCTTTAAAAAAACAGTTCCCCAACACCTATCACTCACCCAATCCCTATCCCCTATCCCTAACCCGGTCCCTCAACATCCTAGGCCCCACTTGTGAACAAGATATTGAAATTGTTTTGAAACACTTTTGAATTTTTTTTGGTGCTCAAAAAAAAAACTATTTGTACTTCAAATCCCTTGAAAAATGTTTTCAAAACCTGGGAGTAATTATAAAACCAGCAGTGCAATTTTATTCATGAAGAAGTTCACTACCTGTATTCATCCTGTGCATGTGTGGTAGAGATGGTCACTTCAAATCCGGATATCCGTGCGGATGCGGATATCTGCTGACAATTTCAGCGGAATCAGGCATCCGCATCCGCTGGCGCTGGCGGGTATCCACGGATACCAGCCCTTTTACTGGCTGACAATCGCCGGCGAGTGGGATTTTTTTTTTTCAAAAAAAAGAAGAAAAAAAACCGGCCCCCCTCAGCCTAGAGAGGCAGAGGCCAGCTTGCCGGGGAGGGATTCCTCCCGACGAGCTGGTGTACATACCAGCTCTTTGGGAGGGGTTCCTCCCGGCGAGCTGGTGTACATACCAGCTCTTTGGGAGGGGTTCCTCCCGGCGAGCTGGTGTACATACCAGCTCTTTGGGAGGGGTTCCTCCCGGCGAGCTGGTGTACATACTATTACCAGCTCTTTGGGAGGGGTTCCTCCCGGCGAGCTGGATTTTAAACCAGCTCGTTGGAAGGACTCCCTTGCAACAGGATTTTAAACCAGCTCGTTGGAAGGGAGTCCTTCCAACAAGCTGGTTTGTGTACCAGATTTTTGGGAGGGGCTCCTCCCGGCGAGCTGGATTTTAAACCAGCTTGTCAGGAGGAGTCCCTCCCAGCGAGCTGGTATGTACACCAGCTTGTCAGGAGGGATTCCTCCCAACAAGCTGGTCTGTGTACCAGCTCATTGGGAGGGGTTCCTCTTGAGAAAAAAAATGAATGACCTGTCTCTGTTTCAGTGCCCATCATGTGACTTTTTTCCACCTTTGGTGTTCCAAGCAATGGGTCACATGGACACAGGTGTCTTATTGGTAAGAGGAATCACCCTTTTGGCTTGATCCAATGTGTCTGGCTGTTTGGGTGATGTTGTTCTGCCACTGGCTTCTGCTAGATCTTGTGGCAGTTTGCCTGAAATAGCTAATATGTGACTTGGATAGTTCTTAATATCTCCAGGAACACTTTCCTTTGTTAAGAATGGTGAACTTCAGTCCCGATACAGCTGTAAACAGTTGCATTCATCTAGCAACTTTTGTAAAATATAAACAACTCAATATATGATTTTCAAAAAGAGTGTGTGTTTGATCAGGCAAGACGGCTTTTCAGATTATCTACTGGATCAGTTCCAATGCAGGTTGCTGATTCTTTTGTCAAACAAGCCTAGTATTGAAGGTATGACTTGCCATTCACATGAGAGGACATACAAGCAAGAAAAAGTCACCATTGTGAGTGCAACTGACAACAGCAGGTGTGCGTGGCGGCAACGATGTGGGGTTAAGGGTCATTCCCAAAGCATTCATCAATCTTTGCATGTGAAGCAAGTAACTTTCCAACAATCTGGTGTACAAACTAGCTCGCTGGGAGGGACTCCTCCTGACAAGCTGGTACACAGACCAGCTCACCAGGAGGGACTCCTCCTGGAAAGCTGGTTTAAAATGCAGCTTGACGGGAGGGACTCCTCCTGAGTCCTGACAAGCTGGTTTAAAATCCAGCTTGCCGGGAGGAACCCTTTGCAACAAGCTGGTATGTACACCGGCTCGTCGGGAAGAATCCCTCCCCGGCAAGCTGGATTGTGTACCAGATCGCCAGGAGGGATTCCTCCTGGCAACGGTGGGCCGCTACACTAACTGTCAGCGGAATCGCTGTTAGTGATTAGCGTAGCGTAGCGGAATTCCGCCACAACACCGCTAACGCTACGCGTGTGGGCCACAAAAAAGGGCCCACTACGCTGTGCTACAGCGGTTTTTAGCGGTTTTTGGCCGCTTTTTCCGCTAAAAGCGCTGTAGCGCAGCGTAGCATAGCAAAAAACCGCTAAAAAACCGCTAGCACTACGGTTTTTGGTGGAAAAAAAGTGCCGCTACGCTACGCTTTTTGGGCCAAAAGCGTAGCGGCCCACCGCTGCTCCTGTCGGCGTGGCCTCTGCTTCTCTAGGCCAAGGGGGGCCGAGTTGTTTTTTCTTCTCTTTTTTTAAAAAAAAATCCATTCTGTTCAAGTCTCTTGGCACCGGGTATCCCTTGGGATACCTGGATATCTGCCGGGATTTCTGGGAAAAGGGCACATCCAAACACAAATCCGTATCCCCTGGCGGGTATCCACCTGGCACCAGGGGATAGCGGGTATCCGCAACGGATACCCTTTGACCATCTCATTGTGTGGCTAGTCCACTCTCTGCCTTGAAAAGAGGTCACATACATAATTGTTCAGAGGCTCAATAAAAAATGCTACCCCCTAATCTTGATGAGAATGACTATCTCCTCCAAGGAATGGCTCTCTGGAATTTTCTTTTTGTTCATCAAGTTCAGGAGCATAAAATGAAGTTTACATTCAAGTAGAAACTGAGGTGTCCAAGTGGCTAGATTGCTGGGAACCATGGAAAGAAGAATGAATTGGGTGAGGGAGAAAGCAGCAGGGTATGTACCAGAAAATTAAGATACAAGTACAACAGCTGTGTGGCACAGTTGGGATTACACAGATCTGACTCAAATAAGTCCCTACTTATTTGGAGGGGGGATGCTGTCCTGGGACAGAATCTTGCTTTGCAACAAAGGGGGGATTAGCTAAATTTGGTTTTATATCTTTGATGAAAGTGAGATATCATGATATAAAATGTGTACACTTGATGTAATTGACGTATACAGTCCATATGCACCGGTTTTCAACCATTCTCTTTCAAAATTTGTGTTTTCAAAGAATACATTTTGTGCCTTGGTTTATTGACTCCCTAATTTTGAAGTTCAGACTCCCAAATTTTGTGGATGTCCTAAGGACTGTCTGCGGTATTGAACTTTCCGGTTCTTTTTAGTTCTTTCTCTAATTTTCACTTGTACTTTATTCAATTCACACTTTGCGCCGCAGTTATCTGAAACCTAATTGATCTTCATAAAAGCGTTCTCCTTACTTTGTATCAGTCTCTTTCTTAATCAATCAATTGTTTCATCTTACCTCGTCGCTTTGTCACTAACCTCAAACTATCTCAGGTTTGTTTCTTTTATCACTTTCACTAACATCCTATATAGCTTAACCTTGTGATCTTTTCAGGTTTGTGTCTTCAGGTCTTCTCTAGTCTTATTGTGTAGATAAACTGAGATTGCCTTCATCCAAAAGGTGTGTATATGATAAAGCAATCAATCAATTGTTTCATCTTACCTCGTCGCTTTGTCACTAACCTCAAACTATCTCAGGTTTGTGTCTTCAGGTCTTCTCTAGTCTTATCGTGTAGATAAACTGAGATCGCCTTCATCCAAAAGGTTTGTGTCTTCAGGTCTTCTCTAGTCTTATCGTGTAGATAAACTGAGATCGCCTTCATCCAAAAGCTTGTGGTTCATTAGGTTATGAGCCCAGATAGTGCCTAATCTGCAACCTCATTGAACTACAGCTTTTTACACACGATGGCCAAAAAATCGATTCATCATCTTCCACTTCTCTCGAAATCTAATTTCCAGAACTGGAAGAACATCATGTATTCGTACTGTCTTGA